AGAGCCTTCTCTTCTGAAGGCTGAAAAAAACCTCAGCCTTTCCTCATATGGGTTCCCAGTCCCTTGATCATCTTTGTGGCCCTTCTCTGGACCCTCTGTAGCCTGCCCACATCTTTTTTGTATAACAGGGACCAAAACTGCACACAGGATTCCAGGTGTGCCCTGACAAGTGCTGAATAGAGGGGGATAATGACCTCTTTATCTCTGCTGGTGATGCCCTTGTTGATGCAATGCAGTACCCTGTTGGCTTTCTTTGCTGCTGCAGCTCACTGTTCACTCATATTGAGCTTGTTGTCCACCAGGACCCCGAGGCCCCTTTCCACAGAGATGCTCCCCAACCAGGTAAATCTCAGTGTGTGCTGGGATTCAGGTGTATTTAGCACAACTCAGGCCAAATGAGCTTTTACTGCAACTCTTGCCTCTTAAATAATGCACCACCTCCAGGCAGATCTTGTATTTTCCGATTTGCATTTGTTCTTCAAAACTACCCTCTGGTGCTTGATGTTTGTGCATCCAACTGCAGGTGTTAATGCTCAAGTACGAGATTCATATGGCTTCAACTCTTGCATAAAAAGGGATTGTGCTGGCATGCGTGTTTCAGACATGTAGGGGGGCTCTCAGTGCACCGTGGTGAGCAGATAAATAAGGCACAGAGGGACAAGAAGCAATATCAAATGAAGCCAGGGGTTCCCAGAGCAGGATGCATATGCCAAAGCAGGGTCCAGCGCTGCTCATGTTGTTCTTTGCTCCCACCAGCAAAATGAGTTGGGGGATGCCTGGGAAGAACCCCAACACTTGCTCTGTTCTCAGTAGTCTCTAATAGCAGCTGACGCTGGGTAACTTTGTGTTTTGCAGCCAAAGCTAGACAAACGGCCAATTTTTCAGCTTGGTTTTGGTAAATGTTAAGGTAAAATTGGGATCATTCCTTTTTCCCCCTCTCCCTTTCCAATGAATTCTTCTGCCAGGTAACCACAGGGAACTGGGAATTTACAGGTGCTGGATGCAGTAATTGATAAAACCTACTTCTGGAGGGAGAAAATCTTCCCAGACTTGGCTTTGCTCTCCTTTCCAGACTTTCACACCTAGTGTGGCTCTCATCTGCATGTTCAGTTGTTGCACTGTTTCAGACCAGGATACAGCCCCTGTATTAAGCAGCTGGAGACTTGTAGACATGCTTCCTTCTGGTTTTGTTGTTTTTTTTGTTTGTTTGTTTTTTAAAAAAAGAGAACTTTGACTTATTTTCACTACTTTTCTTAATTATTTGGGCACGAGGGTTGGATGTTCCTGTTGCTCTTGAATGAAAGGAAAGCATCCCTGATGAACTCCAATCTGGTCTTGCAGATCTTGGTTAAAACAATGATCCGGAAACGATCATTTGGGAATCCATTCGAGGGGAGCAGGAGGGAGGAGCGGTCGTTGTCTGCCCCTGGAAACCTGCTGCCGTAAGTGTCATTGCTTTGCTTTGGCCTGAAAAAAAAATAAAACATACATGGCTTGTCTTGATGTTCTGGAAATTGGTGCAAAGTGCAGCAGGAGAATTCAAGGAGTTGGGCTTTGAATCTTTCATGTGAGGCTGTGACTGGGATGATCACACACCCTCTGTCTGACCCATAACCACTTTGTGGGATGTTTTTTGTGACATGGCATATCCTGCCCCTCCAGTGGGCTGAAAAGTGTCTTTTTATGGCACTTCCAGCCTGTTACAGGGAAGCTGGAGGGAGATAACACATGCTCAGGATCCCAAAGGTCCCATGGCAGGGAAGGGGCAGATGCTGGTGTCTCATTGTCTGCTTTGCCTTTTTCTGAGTTGCTCAGCAACTGTTTTATTTTCTTTTAAAGTAGGAAGCAAGGCAGCGAAGATAATCTGAAATGCAATGACTTGCCCAACGTGGGAGAGGAGGAACTTCTTTCGTGAATATCGACTTCATGGTTCTGTTGAGCAACATGGTCTGGGGCACGTTATAAAGTGTACAGCTGGGGACGAGTGACATTAACAGAGCCTACAACAAAAACAGCATGACATGGCACTATTTCAGTATAATGCTGGATGTAGAGCTTACAAAGCAGCATGTTATAAGACATCCGACTACTTGTCATAAACAGTGAACATCTTCGATCGCTTGGACACTGACTTCTTGTGGGAAAGGCGCTGGCTGATAGCAGAGAGGTGAGCTATCGTGTTGAGCAGCAACAGTGCTTTGCAAAAAAAAAAAAAAAAAAAAAAAAAAAAAAGCAGTCAAACAAAACTGCATTTGGAACTGCTTTTACCTGGTTTTAATGCCAAATAATTTCCAGGGACTAACGCCAGCGTCCCAGGGGTGTCGTGTGCCCATCGCGCGTGGGCACACGCGGAAGGGTGAAGCTTTTGCCAAGTGGCGTACACAACAGTAAAACTACACGTGTGCACTTTGAGAGTTCACGACCTACCAGAAAAGTTGTTGCATCTATTTCTCATCGTTCTGGTTTGTTTTTAATTGATATCTTTTTAACTGCATGGGAACAAAGCAAAAAACCCACCTGTTCAGCTTTTTAAAGAATGCCTACCTTTGTGAGCCAAGTTGTATTAAACAGCATTTTTGGGGCGTTCAGTAAGTGAGGTTAATTACCTCCTAAGGTAATTAATGCCTTCCCTAAGGTCTTGGTGTGACTAGGACTTGGTACATTGAATATTCAAGATATGAAAGGAAAAGGTATTTAAGGGCTTAAGTTCAGTCTGAACTATTTTTGCTGCAGACATACGAGTGAAAGGTGGTGTTTAGCTGAATGTTTGTTTTGAACAGCAGGTGAAGCACTAACAACAGTTTGTTTCTAAATCTTTTACTTGATCTAGGTAGATATATTATTAAATATAAAATTCAGGGTAAAATCCTTCACTTCCATGTACATTACATGGTTTACTACAATTAAAAATAATACAACTTATGCTATTTTTTAAGTATAGACTTAGGGCTTGCTTAGAATTTAAGATATTAATAAAATACTTAGATTAGCTAGTAATTTTCAAAGAAACTTTTGTTTTCAAACTCTTAATCTGGATTTTGGGGCCAATGCTGTGTATTTTTTGCAAGTTCGTTACCAGTAATTTGTGAATGCCTGTGGATCAGAGGCTTGTTAGTAAATTAAGTGTATACCTAATTCATGGATTATTTCTTAAGGAGAGCTCTTTCACCTTCAGTCAGATTACTCTGATTATTTTGTGGTGCTTGTAAAAAAAATAATAATCTATCATGTGGTGGGAGAGATTCTGATGTCCAGACTCACTTTGGCATGTTCTCTGTGCTCAGACAAAAGCTGGAGGACGGCAGAGTGTGGGTGAGCTGGAGAAAAGTCAGGGTTTGCTTGAGGAAAGGGGTCATGGTAAATACAGTTGTTTTGTGGATGGAGCGTGGGACTGTGCAGGAAAAGGTCTGACTTCTCTTCCTAGTCTGATGTGGTTGTGTGACCTTGAATGAGGCATTTAAAACGATGGTGTACCTGAAAGAGGGGGAGGATTCGAATGTCCCGAGCGTGTAAGGGACTGCTAAGGCTAAATTCTTTGCCCTGAGGAAGGAGGCACTAGAATAGACCCAAGTATTCTGATTAATGGTAAGATCTCTGCCTGCTAACCCTGGCCACGGGTGCCTGCCTTTAGGAAGAGACTGTCCCCTTGTCTTCCTTGATCTTGTGCACTGCAAGCAGCAGCGTGCCGAGGTCCTTGACCCCGCTGCAGTCAGACCTGGCCTGGTAATTCCTGGTTAGGACAGGTCTTTGTTAAATCCAGGACAGCATTAGCAAGTGCACAGGTGCCTACACAAACTGTCCCTTATATCTTTTGATCACTTAAAGCAAGGCTTCCCCTAAATCGCAATTTATTACCGAGACATTGTGCTGCTGGCCTCTCCCCAAAGCCAGTGGAGATGGTTCGTGGTTTAGGAGCAGTACTCTGGAGTTTGGAGCCATAAGACACGGACTGTTTTCCTCCCGTTTTAGTCCGAGGCTATGCCAAAGCTTCAGCTATGGGAAAACCAAACAGGTAACTCGGGTGCCAGCACTACTACAGCTGCCTGCTCCCCCTTTCCTAAACAGGACTTTTCATTGCGGAAATGAGTGCGAGTGGGCAGCTTTGTTCTCTAACCCTGTAAATGGACTTGTTCTGCCAAAAAAAAAAAAAATTACAAAAAATAGGGGATCTGATTATATGTAGCTGGTGCATAGTAATGTGTGTGGTGTGTTTTTTGTTAAAGGTGAGTTGTAGAGATGCTCTGTGCTGCGTATCTCCCGTTTGTGATTTGTCAGGTGCCTAGCTGGACAGTTTACACTTACCAAACAAGCTTGCCAGGTGCCACGCAGCTTCTAACCAGACTAAGCTGTACCGGTTCCTCGATGCCCAGCCCCAGAGTCACTGGGCCTCGGATGTTACCACAGATCAGTGTCTTACGGCCAGCACGGGCTTGGTTTGTAAGGAGCCTAAAGCTCAGCGCTTCCCTAAAGGCGCTCTCCAAAATGTTTGTCTCTGAGTGCCAGCTCCAGTAGGGCTGCAGCCAAACGCACATTTCTGAAAGAATCTCAATGTAGATTTTTCTTGTTGATTAGTTCTGTTGGAAGCATAAAGTGTGGCTGTGTGAGGACGATCTGTTGAAATGCATGACCTGTTAGAGAAGCTGTACTATATATACATAAATCCGCTCAGTTCCCTAGCTGCTGTTCCTTAGTAGTAAAGCTAGTTCTTTTTTCCTTATAGTGAAGTACATATTTTGCTTGTGCCTTGGAACTGGGCTGTAGCTTGATTTCCCCAACTCCCTTCCTTTCAAGCAAGCCCAGTGCTGACTGTAAGCTTAATGCTGGGTACTAAGCCTTCTTGGCTCTGAAAGCACACAGGAAAGTGCTAAGGGGAAACCAGGCCTCTTGTCTGAGTAGTTTTTCTTGGTGGTCCCCTCTTACCTATCAGGCAATTGATATGTTTCTTTTCTAAGGTCCTGAACCATTGCTGATTTTTATACTGTTTGTTTAATGACCAAGGCTTGTGTTTCATTCCTACCCCTTTATTATGCATTTAACTTTATCAGGTGTATCAAGTTTAAATACTGTGTATTTACCACTTTTAAATAATATTACCTAAAAAGAAAGAAAGAAAAAACAAAACAAAACAACAAACAACTAAGTGTTTTTCCACACAGCTGTTCAAGCTTCTCTGTACAAGTTGAAATAAATGACATGCAAACAAACCCAGAGTTAGTATCAAGTGGAACCATTATCCTGTTTGACTGGTCTTTATCAAGCTCTGAGAGTTTTTGTTTGAAGAGGAATCTGCAAGCACCTCCCTGGCTTAGTGAAGTCTGGTGCTTTGCCCTTGCTGGGGATCTTGGGCTACAAGGAGACCACAGTGGCTCTAGCCCCTGCATAATCCAAACTGAGCCAGTCACAGGCACAGACCGGAGCGCTGACTCTTGGAAAGGGACCCTCCGAGTTGGGACACTCAGTGCTCAGCAGCAGTGGGCAAATAAAGAATAAAACAAAATGATAATGCTGTAGCAAACCCACTGCACCGCTGGAAAAAGGCAGCAAAGCCCCAGCCAGGGTGGTGGAGGTATGGAATAGGTCCCAGGGCTCTGCAACACTAGAAAAGGTTGAGAAAGGGAAGAGCTGTACCTTGCATGTCAGGGTGGTCGCTAGAGCAGCTCAAGGCCATGTGAAGATAAAAGCCAACACATTCACTTAAATCAAATTGTTAAAACCCATGAAATACAGCCACCCTGATCAAGGGTCTGGGTGTGGTGGTGAAAGGCAAGGGAGGTATGCCAGGGAATAACAGATCTGTTCTGTGCAGTTGGTACTAGCATCTGGCTAAGGCCATGCTAGGCTAACTAATCCTGCCTTTCAAAAAAGACTTTCAAGTCTCTTCCCTTGGACAGGGTTTTAATGCAACAGATGCAGACAAGGTTTTAGGTGAACCAAGGAGGAGCAGAAGCTGTAGGTGCAGCAGCAAGTCTTGCTGAGAGAATCAAGGGCCAAAGCAGCCAGCAGCACTGGCTGCGCTAGCTCTCCAGTAATGGCATCTTCACAGGCCCTGGGGAAAAATAAGCAAGCAAAACCCACCTTGCAGGACTGGTAAGAAGGCAATATTTTATTAAAAAGAAAGTAAATTTTGAAGTAGTACCATAAAAATTAGACAAAACAGAAAAAAAAATTTCTGTAAAGCAGTAAGCCATTTACCATAGCATGATGGAACCAGGTGCTGCTTTTGTCTTGGTCTGTGGCCACTGGAGCTTGGAGACACGATTAAATAGTAGGCATAGGCTCAGCTAAGCATCACAATCCTTCAGGGCAAGGAAAAAAACAACAGCAAGGAAAAAAACAACAGCAAGGAGCTGCTTTCCCAAGGTCAGGGAACACCCCACAGGGGCCATGTTCACTGTAAGGAAGAATCTGTGCCTGTAACCCTGTGATCTCTGCTACCGCTGAGCTCAGGGGAAAGAGGACTGTCAAAATTACAGTATCCAAGCGGTCCCTGTGCCAGGCTTAGCCAGTGCAGAGGCCTGACATAGAAGCACAATTCTCCCTCTGTCCTTAGTGCAATTAACCTGGAAAGACAGCACACAAGGAGCAGACCCAATTCTTCTCTCTGGGGGGGTTTGCTCCAGCCAGCAAAAGTAGTGAAGAGTAGTGAAGAAGGTCCCTTTCTCACATTTGTTCCCCTCTTCAAGCCAAGAGGGGGGTGGGTCTCATGGCAGGGTCAGAGTAACGTTCACAGCAGCAGTTTACAGCAGCAGCTGGTGCTGTAGCAGCAGGAGGTCAGGAGTTTGTTCCGTATGTCTCATTGACTCCCTGCAAGGATCAGAGATTACAGCTCTCTGCCAGAAAACTCTTTCTTTCTCCCCCTTCCTCTCACATAAAACCCTCTACACAGGCAAACTACTCTCCGCTACTCAGACTTTACTCTTCCAAAGCCACAAGGTCTGTTGAATCAGAAACCTACCCTCTGCAGCAATGCTTCTGATCAAGCACAGGGCTGCAGGGCAGAGCTCTACCCTCAGCACCAGTTAAGTGACGCCACTACCCTACTAAATCTTTCTGCTGGCCAAGAGGATCATATGGATCCTGGAGGGAGCAGCAGCTGTGGCTGTCAGCCTCCTGGTCTGGGAAAACACCAACCCAGTGAATGGGTTTGTTCACAACAGCAGAAACCCCCAAAAGCCAAGAAGGAAGGATTTGATGGGGACAGAGCTCTTGCCTGCAGCTCTCAGGAGGCAGCTGCCAAGGACTGCAACCCAAAAAAGAGGTGCAGTAGGAGCATGACAAGTTCTTAAACATACATTTCCCTCCCCAAGAGTGGTTGCCCAGGAAACATGGCAATATTTGTTTCTAGTGCTTCTCCCTGCAACAGCTTTGAGGCAAAAATTAGCTTCTCTGATGAAGACAAAGTTTCCTCACAACTGTGGTTCAGAATCCCCATTTGATGTGGACTTTCTACATCCTGTTTCAGAATCTCTTGAGTCAGAGGAGAAAGCAACTTTGCCTTCACTGATGCTTACCAGTTCATAATCCTCCACATACTTGTATTTCTTCTCCCGATAGTAGTATTTCTTCTTCATGCAATACAGAACAACAATGTCACACAGCACTGTTGCCTAGTGGAGATTGAAAGAGTTTAAGACAACGATCCTCAGAACTGAGGCACTAATCCAGAATTCAGTCCAAGTGCAGACAGTGTCACTTACCACACCAAACAGTGCTAAACCAGAGCCGACGTTAATCATGGTAGGAATTACATCAAATTTCCCTGCCTAGAAAACAGTTACAAGGGTGAATATGTTTTTCAGCATCTCTGGAAGCCCTCACCACAAGAACTCCACAATTATTTCACCCCACCTTTCCAAACACTATGATATCAAAGCGGATGCCGTAAGCTTTGACAAGCGTCCGTGATTCAGTGCCATTAACATCCTTGTAGTATTTTGCGAACCTGGAGAAAAGACAGGGCAGAGCTTAGTTGGAAATGTTGAGGTTGCTTATGTGATCATGCAACACCCAGGTGTGTCCCCCATCCCAAGAGGATGGGTTGAATATCAGTACTTCCAGAGACAAGACCCAAACGATGGAGATTTCATGTGGGCAAGCACAAATGGGAGAAAAGCCCAGAACAGTCAAATTTAAGACAGCAGTTTGCGCAAGCCAAATCAGGGAACTTGCAAAGCATAAGAAGGGGAGAAAGTTAGCTTTAGCAGGGGAGCAGAAGGCCAGACAGGAAGAAATTCAGCTACACGAGAGAATCAGCCCCCTGAACAAGCAGGAGGGTGCAGGAGTGCCGGCAGCCGCGAGAGGGCAGGGCTGGGAGCAGGCAGCGAGGGAGGCAGTACAGCTCAGCCTGGCATCGGGCTGTGCCTGCCCGCACAACGTGACCCGCAGGCAAATGACAGGGAAAAGGGATCAGAACAAATCAGTGAGGTCAGACTTACTCCGCCACATGGTTGACTAAGCCAGGAGGAAGCAGAGAAGAGGGTGGAAGAGGAAGGATTGGTAAGGGGCTGCACCATGGTCTGGAATTAGCAAGAGCGCTTCAGAACGCGCACCAGCCAGGCTGTGATATTCTCTGGCCTGTCACCCCAAATACCTGCAGGCCTGGCACCTCCCAAACACACGCTTGTGCTATCTGCATGACAGCAGCTTCCCAGTGAGCTCGTTCAAGTTCCACCCAAAGAGATCCCCCCTCCCATGCTAAGTGAGAGTTTGTGATTCTAGAAACAAGAATAGCCCTGCGCTGTTTCCTCGCGAGCAGGGATGTTGCAAGGATCTCGGCAAGGTGGCCGATCTAAATTATCATAGCTCTGAGTCTGGATGCACTCAGCTACCCAGCACTGCACTGATGGGTTTACTGGAGGTGCTGGACCTAGCCATGCCGGCCAGAATGTGTATGTGGTGGTGTATGACAGGATACTCCTGCTGCAGATACAGTCTTCAACAGACAGAGCCATTTTCTAGAGGCTAGTTTTTCCCTCATGCACAGCAAAGGAGGTGCTTCAGTCTTCCACTCCCCCATGCCCCAGCCCCCTCAAATACTGCCCTATTGGCACACCCTGAAACAGCTGATTCTCACACTGCTCTGCCACGGGACGCTGGCCCAAACAGTCACCCAAATGCTGATGCAGATATGACTCAGACACTCCCATGCAATCAGTGGAGCTTCCCTGACCTTCCCCCCTCCACTGTGGTTTGCACACAGTGAGGATCTGACCTGCTCTATGTTTTACAGCGTCCGAGAAACTCTGAAAGTTTTAGAGCACCATCGAAAGTCCAAGGACTACCCTCAACTGCCGGAGGAGTGCAGGCAGCCTGAGCCCCAGGGACACTTCAGTGCCCTTTATAGCCACATTACCTGAAGTTGTAGCCAGGTGAGACAGTGTGAGCAGAGTCCTTGTTGTCGAGGCGCCGGAAGGAGTACTTTGGCACACAGTGGGAAGCAGCTCTGTCAAGGTTACAGTCCCAGTTGATCTGCAGTGCCATAACTCCACCCTGCCAAGCAGAGGAGAGAAGGTGAACAATCTAAGTGCCTGGTCAGCACTAGGACCCCTGCAGACGATGCCCCTGATTTACTGGCCCTTGTCCCAGTCGCTGTCAAACACTTTCCCAGGCTACAGAAGGACCTTGAACATAACCCCACCCAAACAAGCCAAGGCCAAATATTTGTTAAGCAGAATTGACTCCAGTCTCTCTGGCCAGAGCAGCTCTCTATTCCACAGCTACTCCACATCCTGTGGCTCATGCCATGAAGCAGAGGGGGATAACCACCTACCGCTCTACTTCTACACAGCCGAGACCCAAGAGAAGGGTCTGCCAGATACCTCCACAGCCATTTCCTGGAAGTTCTGCCCTGCAGCTTCAACTATTTTCCCTAAACGAAAGATAGGGCAGAAGGGATCTGTCTGGGAGTCATAGATGCAGTTCTTGAGGTAGGTGGAGTTGATAATGGGGAGGATGTTTCGCCTACAGGAGAACAGAGAGATATCTGTTGTATCTTCTTCCACTCCTCCATCTTCCCTTTGCTGTCCAAGAGACCAGACAGCGCAATGCCCCACACACTATTTACTTGCTGAAGTTGAACTTGGGGTACCAAATGTTGTTCTTCACCAGAATGGTGAAATTCTCAGCTTCTTGCAGGAACGCTGGCCTACAAAACAATAGGAAAAGTAAATAAGTTTCACTTCTATTTTCACAAACAGGACTCCACAGGGTCCTTGGTGATCACTTCTTCAGCTGTTTCCAACGGCATCTCATAGGAAGAAATGTCAGCTGCACACTGCTAGCCTCCTCTCAGGAGGGCACCGCAGGGTAGGAAGACAGAGCACTCACTTGGGTATATGACTATCATCCTCCACAGGGCACCACGCAAAGACTTCACAGGTCTTAATGCTGTCATTGTATGGTATGCACTCCCCAGTCTGGATGCCTGGAAAAACATGCAAATGCAGGTACTACAAAACAAAAATACAGAGGCAGTATTTGCCCTGTGATACCTCCTCACTCCGTAAGGTGAAAGCAATCTGCTCAGAGGTGAAGTGTCAGTACAAAGACCGCCATTATCTTCCGTTACAATTTATAGTGCAGTTTCAGAGAAAGAAGCATAAGGTCCTTTTTCTCAGTCAAATCCTAATCTACATGAAATACTGCTTCATGGATTCAAGGTCTTGAAAAATCCCTCACACAGTTTGCTAACTCACCAAAGCACACATCAAAGCACAGCAACCACTCAACACAGTCTAAGGCCATCTGCAATCCCCCAGAAGAAAAATCTTAGCTTCCCCTTTCAGTTCTCTGAGGTGGGAGAGAATGAGAACAAGGAGACTGAAGTGAAATGCTGCTTCCTTCACAGGAAGGAAGGCGCAGCACAGGTATCACAGCACAGACTGAAAGGAGACCCTGCAGCAGGTTTCTTACCACTGCTGTGGGTGCTGACATATCCTGGAACACAGTTGTTCTTCACCTTGCACTCTGTTTTATCATCTGGAAACTGGAGAGGAACAATAATTACACTAAACTCTATGAACTCTCTCCCCTGCACTCCCACCCACACAAGTCAGGATTAAAGCAGATTCTGTACCTACCTCTGGACAGTGGCCTTGGTACTGGTTCAGTGTGAGTATCACATTGGTCATGACAAACACACTGTTCTCCTCCTGATCATGCAAAACAAGAAGGAAATTTAAGAGTGACAGTCTGCAGAGAATATCCAAGGCACTGCCCCAAATGTCTTTGTTGACAGAGCCTAGGTGGTCCTGCAGAGGGGACTTGCTTTGGACACTGCTGGTGTAGAGTGCTATTCACAGAGCAGATTCCCACATATATCACCTGATGCTTCTGCCTTTAGGCAGAGGAAGGACTGTGGGATTAGCAACCCTTTCTGTCCTCCCACTTGGCCCAAATTTCCTTATTCACGTTATGAAAATAGAGATATCACAACTCCTCAGGGGAGTCGCAGGGCAGGAGCAGAAATAAAGCTCCAGCTGCAAGTCTGAGCATAACTCCCACTCATTTGTTGCAATTTATCTATTAGAAATTTGACCAGTCCTGGTTTGTTTCTCCAGAGAGCACCACTTCCATTATTTTCAGATCTGTACAATGCAGGATCTGTCATTTGCTTTTGCTCCACTGATATGCAAATATGATCACTCAGCCAAAATTTGGCTAAACTTGTCACTTTTTTCTGCACTAATCTCATGCAGACAGAGTGACCCATGACTAGCAGCTTGGCCGTGCCTGCCAACCCCAAAGGCTGCCACATATTGCCCACACAGCACAGATTCCCACAATCAGTAACTACAGTTCCGGATCTAGTGACTTGCAAGCTATTCCCGGGGTTTCTGTCAACAAATTAACTGAGTTGTTTGCTTTAGAAAGCAGTAAGAAAGAGGACACATGGTTATTGTTGCAACTTTTTCCTGAAGCTTGCTAAATTCTCCCTCCTATACAAGCATGCACAGACACACTTTTCTTGAAACAAGCTTCCTCAGGGCTAGTGGTGCAGGTGCTCAGCATGACCTGCAACAAACCAAAAGCTGCTTTATTCTCTCATATCAAGGCCTCGCTGGAGCCAAAGCTACTCCAAATCTCAGCGGACTTTGGCAGAGCAGTAGGTGTTTGTTAGAAAACCCTCCCTCTGCATGTGAAAGTAATTGATACCTGAGGAGGGATGACATAGTCAGCTACATCCCAGATCCTGGTTCCCAATGTGGATGTGTTTGTCAGAGTTACTCCTTTTACTTTTGTGGTTACAGAACTGACCACAGAGTCTGTTTCCTGGTAGCCCTTCTCCCACAGAAAGACCCAGCTGTGAAAGAAGGATTGTAAGAAAGGAACACCAAAAAACAGATAAACACCATAAACCAGCACAGGCAGTGGGAACTTATTCTTTTTTCACGTGCCACCTGAAAGGGACGGTCCAGATAATAGTTTCATAGTGTTTCCCTACAAAAAGGTCACAGGACTAGCAATCCCCCTTCTGATTTCCACCCCCCCCCCCGCCCCGAGCAGCTTGGCAGAGTGTAATTACTGCTTTTACACACACCCCCAGCGGGCGAACGACGATCATCCTCCAGGACGGTCTCCGCTGCTAAGGGGTCCTGTCCTGCCTGCAGCCGCCTCGAAGCAGCCCTACAATCCCAGTTAATACTCCCAGTTAAGATGTCCCACCACTTGCTTGTCACCCCTTGGTGTTGGCACCCACGACGGCCGCCGCGGCCGAGCTCCGGCCTCCCCTCAGCCCCGCGGCCGACGCTTCCCGCCGCCCCGGCCCGGCCCGCTCCTCCCTCACGGCAGAGGGGGGTCCCAGCAGGCGGGAGCCGGCCACCTCCCTCATGGAGGGGCGGGAAGGCGTCTCGGCCCGCTCCTCCCTCACGGCAAAGGGGGGTCCCGGCAGGCGGGAGCTTCCTTCCCGCCTCTCCCTGAGGGAGGAGGCCGGCTCCCGCCCCTCAGCCCCAGCCCCCGGGGGCTCCCTCACAGCAGTCGCCCCGAGATCCTCTCCCCCGCCTCGCTTAGCGCAACCCGGCGCTCACCCTCCCGCTCACCCGATTACGTAGGCGAGGATGGCGAGCTGCACCCCGCGGTTGATGAGCCCCACTTTGCGGCTCCGGATCAGGACGATGCGGGGGGTGTCGTATTCGAAAAGGAAGCTGTGGAAAGCCCCGCACGACACCATGGCGGCGGCCTTGGAAGGAGCGGGCGGGAGCTTCCACACGCCGTGCAGCGGCTGCCGCAGCCCCGCGGAGCCACAGCGCCCCGAGCAGCCGGGAGAGCGATCCCGCGGCCCCAGGGCTCGCACCGGTTCTTGATTACCGGCCCCCGCCTCTCCTCCGCCGGCTGCGGGCTGCCTGCCAGCCACAGCCCTGCCCGCGGCCGAGGAGGAGGCAGCGACTGCCCGGAGGCGCCGCAGCTTCCCGGCTGTTTTCGGCAGGGAAAAGGGGTTCACCGCCGCCCTTTGGGGTTGCCCGGAATAACCGGGGGCTCAGCAGTCGGGGTAAGGCTCCAGCCTGAGGCCTCCCACTGCTGTAGCTCTGCTGTGCGTGGATATGGGGTTGGGAAGTTCAAGTGGTGGGTCATCCCGAGGAGGGTGCTCTCAACCTAGTTGCTAAATCTGGGAGATTTTTTTTTCCCCATGCTACTCTGTTAGCAAGTTTATGGGGAGTTTTTCACCTCCACACTGGCCAGACATGTGTCAGCCGTTACCTGGAAGTCTGCTGCTGTCAGCCCTGTGCTGAGTCTGGGCTACTAAGTCTCACAAAGAAGCCAGACAGGTGACCTCAGGCAAGGGCCATTCTAACACCAAGACATAACTTGCAGCCAGCTCAGAGCAAGGACAGAGCACCTGCCTGCAAAGGATAGCAGAAGCATATCTAAGACTGTCACCCTCCCAATCCACAATGAGCAAAATCCTTTATCCTCTTGCAGAATTAACCTTTGTTAAAAAGCAGAGATCTGCATTACCTAATTCATGCACCTTCCACCTGATGCTGAGCTGCCCAACGCAGTCCTTAGTTTAGAAACATCATCACAACCCTCATAATAGCAGGTAAATCATTAGAAAGAGATGAAATGAACTGACAAACTGGGAGTGGGAACTTCAGACAGTACGAAACTATTAAAGAGACTTTGAGTCAGCTATAGATTAGTAAACTGCTCTATTTATTACAAAAACAATAAAAACTGAAAGGACCAAAAAGAATGGGGAGATGATAAGGAAGAACATATGTCCAGATGTGAAAGGAGATTAAAACCACCATTTTAAGTGAATATTCAGTGTAATTCTTCCAAAAGGAGCATTGCTTCATGTGTCACAACAGGAATGCATTAATGTCAACTGTCATATTTTCCCACTCTAGAGAGATGATGTTGCAATATGAACATGAATACAATTAATGCTTATTACAACTGAAGATATACATAATTTGCCTGCAATACATCTTAAAATATATATGTGGGTAATGAAAACAGCAAGCTGCAGAGTTAGCTCTGAAAGAACAAAGTTTAGTTGAAAAGAGCAGAATATATATGTTACAATCCTTCTCACTTTGTTTCCTTTGTTTCTACAAAAATAGAACATGTCCAAGTATAACAAAAAGAAGGAATTGAAAAGGTGTTGGAGCACAGATTAGTCTACCCTGAATTTGCTGCTCCTCGGCTGTAGTGTGGCCTAACGCATCATAGCACAAAGCAACTTGCACTGTGCCAAGGTCAGTAGGATAAAGTATAGGAGGCAAGGCCTGTTTGAAGCTAAGAGCAAACGGGAGGCCAAAGCCCAATTTCAATGTGTATGAATGAAATGCCCCAAAATATCACACAAAGACGTTAAAACTACTTTTCATTGTAATTCCTGAGTTCAAATTAAAAGGAGTAATACAAAGAGGACAGCTGGGCTTTTCAGAAGATGCTTTGTGACACTGAAATCATCTAAAATAAGCCTGTTTCATCTGGAAGGACTGCAAGGCCTTCAACAGCAAGTTATGAAACTACATGCTCAGTGGCCTCTCTAGAGCCTCTTGATCCAGAACTGCAGAAAGGTGGTGAGGCTGGGGGAGAAAAATGCTTAGGACCATGTTTTCAAGTGATATCTCTTTTGGACTTCCTTCAGGGGTCATGCTTTGAGATTACTTGTGGCTCCACCTTATTTTCAGGGTGCTGGCCATCTCCTGATTCAGCTGGGATTCTGGTATGCACCCGTGCAGAGGCAGGAGGCCTGGAACCTCTCCCTAAAAGGTAGCTCTAAGAATTCACCCCGGAGCCTACGTTTCCAAACCATGCAGGGTGAGTCACAGATGAAGCAAAGGCAGAAGCAAGCACTTTAGCTCAAAGTATTTGTTCCTCTGTGCTAAGCAGTAGGCAACTGTGCCTCTCCAAAGACAGTATACAAGAATTCAGCTCTACTACAGAAGATTTTGGTAAGTCACACACTTTCTTCTCTTTTTTTTTTTTTTTTTTAAAAAAGGCCTGTGAAAGAAAACAAAGGTTAAATGCCCAAGGTGAGTCACAGTGTGAGCTACATCCTCATTCTGTCTCAAAACCAGTGTAGTTGTTGACAGCTTTGGGATAAGTATCTCTAATTTTCCACCTGCAGCAGCTTGGGATGACGGCTCTGTCTTCCAGATCAAAAGAGCCAAAGCGCCAGTGAATGTATTGCTTGTAAGCAAGGTGACGCAGCTGGGTGTTGATACTGCTATCCGTCAGGTCCAGAAAGGGGTCTTTGTAGAGAAGGGCTTTATTCAGTGTGTGACTGGACAGCACCAGCTGCTGAAACCAATGGGAGGTTGTGATGCACTGCCCTTTTTTCTTTCGGCAGCAGAGCTGCTCATGGTACTTCTGTGTTGGCTGGCATGTGCCACAGCAGCACCACTCTGGGCAGTCTGGGGAAGAGGCCCCTTGTCTGAGAGGTTGCCCCAGCTCATATTCTTCATTATCATGGTTATAAGGGGTGTGCATCGCCTCAGATTCTTCATTACTATCATTCTCACTGTACTCGCTGGTGCAGCAGCCACCAGCATCACCGAATTTCACAGAGTGGCTCTGCAACAACAATTAAATTAAAGAAAATTACAGAATTAAAGAAAACAGCATTTGCTGCTTCATCCAACTACAGAGAAAATTTGCACCAGTGATCCTCACCATTGGGTTTTTCATTTGACACAGCACAATAGGGATAATGATGATAGATCAGCAGATCTGGAGGAGGATTGTCTTTCTGTGTTGGCAACGCCCACCCTAGCGAAATCGAATTGACACCGCGCAAGTTGTTTTAACACCAACTCACTCCTGCTGGCACATACCCACCATAGGAAAGCAGCAATTTTTAGCTGACTCGAATATACATGCTCTGGTCACAGGACCTATTAATTTGAAGCGGACAATAAGAATCTAGTTATAACCCCTCAGAATCTAATCTAGAAATATGAGGAGGTGGGGGTGGTGGAAACCCAAATCAGTTTGGAATGGCATTCCTCAGTTCTCCCTTCTGAAGGGAGGATCCCCAAGGTTAAGTGTCTGTCTTTACCTCAACAATGCTGCCTTGAGCACGCTGCAAGCTTTTTTTCAGAGGCTCCTTTATCAAGGTAATATGTGGCTCATCAACGTAGGACACATACATCACCTGTGCAGCAGAAATGAGCACTGTCAGCTGGAGTAGTTACTTGGAGAACTGAAAACAAACACTGCATAGATCTGACCTCAGGGCTTGGGTTCTGCAGTCTGCATTCCAAGAACAATCCCCTGCAACTGCATGTTGCAAGGGCCCTTATTTCCAATATCTGGGATAGCAAGGACATGGGGAGCTGCAGGGACAGGAGGAGATGATACGGAACTAACTGTAGGAGCGGGGTTGTGCTGGGCCTTTAGGTACTCTCCTCTTCACTCTTCTTTGAAAATAAATGTCTAAAAAGTTGGGGGATTAGTAGAAGTAGCCTAGAGAAATAAACATTAATGCCTTGAAAATGAGGAAGAGGCAACTGAAGTTGGCAGGGAGGAAGCTTTGAGCAGTGTCCTTTTCATGGACAACCTTTCTGTGACATCCTTCTGCTGTTCTGAAGGATCACTATTCCCTGGAGTTTTCCCAAATAGAACTGGTGTGACTCTGCCATGCCAAGGTTGTGTGTAGAGCCCACTGCACTCATGCAGTGCATGCAGTGCACAGCTCCATGGAAGCTTCCTCAGTCAGCTGCATTTTTGTATCCATACAGCAGCAATGTACATTCTTTACCTGTCTTGGATTCAGCACAGTCTCATACTTTTTCCTGTTGTAAATTTGGTAGAGTGGTGATGTGCAGCAGCCAGAGCAATTACCTATACAAATAGCAAATTCAATGGCAGTTGCAACCTGTGCATGAAAAAAACAGCAATTGGTGATTCCACTTTCTTAATGAGACTGTATCTCCAGAACTGTTTTTTTTAACACAAATAGTAAGTCTCTCACCAATCCAAAATAGGAGAGCATGGACCCAATGTTTTTAAGGAGTTCAATGCTGTTAAATTTTCTACCCTTAAAGAAAGCAGAAAAGAATAATTGGGAGGCGAGATTTGTTATCATTCATTCAACTTAATGGCTTTTCTCTTTCCGTCTCTTCACAATGTATCTTTGTCTCTTTACAATTCAGTCAATCCCAAAATTTCATAGTCCATCTCAGACACTTTGCAGGGAGGAGTAAACAACTTGAAACAGTGGTGACACACGGGGTTCATGACAATAACATCATGTCATGGTGATACCTGTTATTGCCTCAGTCTTAAACAACAACCCTGCCCCGCTCCCATCCCCGCCATTTCATCCTCAGCTTTGCTCGCCTGTGCTGCTCAGTTCAGTTTAAATCTACTCATCTGACATGGCTTCCATCCCAGAATGATGGACAGGAGAGAGGAGAGGGGTGATTGGCAGATCTGGGGCTAAGGTAATAACAAGCTTTCTTCTCCTGCCACAAGGAAAAATAATTGCATTTACTGTGCCAAAGACAAGGACATCAAACCGTATTCCATAGACTTTGAAAAGGGTTCTCTGCTCCTTCCCATACGGTAGCTTGTAGTACCTTGCATATCTGCAAAAGAGTAAATGAAGATCTGTGCAGCTTCCCTGGGGGATATAATGCCATGAGGCTGGAGAACACAACAAGAGGCAGTTTCTTCTCCCTTCTTACTCCAGCCCTTTCAGCCTTCTGAAATGAAGATGCTGAGGCCAGATTGATGAACAGTATTTTGCCCAGCATCTGACCTAGCAGTTGAAACTAAATTAATACATATATAGAGATTTAGACAAATTAAAAATCCAACTAATGTCCAGTGAGTGTTTTGCTGTCTCAGTTCAAATTGGAACCTGACACTGCAGAAAGAAGTTCAGGCCCAGGTAAAGCAGATAGAAAACTCTGACAAGGATATGTGAAGACCTGGCAATGACAAGAGTGCCCATGCTCTGGAGACTTTAATATCATGTTATCTAAGACCAACTCTGAACTCCTGAGCACACTTCAGCATGCTGGATATCAGCCATTTTCCATTCTTCAATCAGGAGAGAGTGGCAAGAATCAGTGAGTAAAGTGAGCCTTTACTAACTACCAGGATCTTATTCTAACAAGAGCATGACCCTCCTGATGCACAGCTCTCATCAGCTTATGGATCAATAAGCAGTCACTGAGCATGGAACAAAGAGATCCTTTTAAATCTGACAATGAAAAGCTGGCCGTACAGGCAAAATCATTACATTAAACTGAAAGACATGCTAAAACACACAATGGTACTAATACCCAACCTCTGATAACACCTATATGTCTTCTGCCTCAGATATGCTTTCAGGACTTAAAGTGCTGTATTGTTCTTGACTGGTTTACTTGAGTGATCTCTAAAGCCTGTTCTCCTTCATTTAGGTAGATAATTTGGCTTAGCTGAAAGGACAGAAGGTCACTTCCAGGGGTGACAGATACTCACAGATCACTCTGTCATTGCTAATCAAAATTTATTTTATAGTTGATTGTCTGTTCGAGTACTGAAAGAGTACATCGTTTAAGCAGATATGTCTGGTGTAAATGCCATCAGCTCAGCCCTCTGCTTTCTAGCATCTCCAGGTACTCATTCAGACATTGGAGACATCTAAAGAAAAATACACTTTCCTCCTTTCTTTTCTCTTTAGGTTCAGACCCTGCTGCTCTGCTTTGACATCCTGATGCTAACAAACCATCCCAGAGCAGGTTTTATTTGATTCCACTCTCTCCTGCACATCCTACTGCAAGCTAAGTTTGGCAGACTTTCAGAGTGCTTTTAATCAGAGTTCCCTAGATCATGCGATCATTTGCTTCCCATTCACCATGATCTGATTTGTATTCTCTGAAGGCAGTGACTCACTCAGAAAAACACATCGTAATGTGTTCTGTTTTATCCTTGCTTGCATAGACACAAAATGCCCTTTTTCCTGTGCTGAACAGTTCCACAGTCCGTGGCCAAGACATGTTTTACTGGAGCCTGAAAGCCTACAGGTCAGTTAGGTTTTATTTGAAAGTTTTCCTAACTCTTTCCAGAATCAGAGGTTTTCTCTAGCCCTCGGGGTAGAGATTATTTCACATCTGCTCTCGATGGCCTAGAAGCCTTCTCCTCTGTAACAGCTTTATGCTCAGAGCTGACCTGGTAAGAGCTTTCTTTATCACTGGCTGAAGCTTTGATCCCTTGCACCTCAAACATTTCTTTTCTTTTGGTAGGCTAAAGCCTGTTTCCATTTAAATCTATCACAAAAATTCCATTTGGAACTGAGATGAAATCAATAGGGCTCCATGCAGACAGGTTATAAGCTGCCGAAAGTAGCTTTCCTGACTTCTAGGACAGCTAGACTGCAGGAGAAGCAGCATTCAATACATGCCCCGTTTCTTGCAGTCTGCCAAAATTTTCTCCTGCTATTGATCTTTGTTAGCTTTAGGAAACTGGGCTGGATGGACCTCTGATATGATAATATTTTACATTCTTACAACATGTCATTGATGTAAAAAAAGTTTTCTTGAAATACATTAATTGTATGATAATCTCTAGCTCTCCCCCCCTTACTCACTTGGGTAGTTCTACTGAAATCAGCAGCTCTGTTTATACAAATTGGCATAAACCACCTCAACAGTGTACCAGGGTTTGTGCATGTTCTTCGCCAAAACTTGTTTTAAGGAGTGTTATGCTCAATCTATTCACTGCTCTTCAACTTTTACTCTCTTTACTGAACTACTCTGCTCCTCTTTTTTAATTTTGGAGACATTAGAGAATGACATTTCTTTGCCAGTAAACCCCTTGATTAACAGATACAGAGTCAGGCCACCAGGATGTGGTCTGGCATCATGCACACTCCCAGCAGCCTGTGTTCTCAGACCAGGCTCACTTCCTGCAGCAGAGATTTCAGCTGAACTGCAGCAAAATAATATTGCTACAGACTAGTATTTTGATGCTTAAAAGGTAACAAATTTGGGGCAAACCCATTCGTGGCATTTTGACCCCAGTTGTTATCTGAAATTAAACATCTTCAAAACTACTCCACTGTTTTCTTCCAAAAGCCTTAAAAGAAACTACTTTGACTACAAAAATGTATTCAATAGAAAGGTTGCTGGCCTCAGCCTCACAGCACTGTCTTGCTTTTTCCTTGTGATCTCCCCCACCTCCTGTCTGTGGTTGCCAGGTCAGAGGGAACACCTATCTGTTCTTTGCACAGCTCCAGCACAATGCAGCTTTGGAATATGCTGGCAGCTCCTAGACAGTTATGGCACTCATGTTAGCATCACAAATGTATGAAAACCCATAATGTTATAATAATCATGCCGTGAGTCAAAAAAAGAGTGTTGTTACATGAGAGTTTTGACTTAGATCTGAGGGACAACTTCAGTTTTAAACATGATGATAAGCATTTGATAAATGCTTTGTGTAACTATTTAGAACTGGAGTCACGTCAACGATTTTGTCAAAAATTCTCATAAATATGCTATATGCACACAGAACCAAAAGCTCTAATTTGATTTTGAATAAATCTTGATTCAGTGAACTGTGGGGTTACCCAGATGGAAGAAAAACACTTTGTTATTTTATTTGTGTTAATTGCCTTGGGAAACTCACAAGTTTAGGTAGTTTAAAGCCTCAGTTGCCATATGGTGGAATCTGCCTAAACTATTCTCTCTGTTAGCTCCCAGAATACTTGTTGGAAATTTCTAGGCCTTTCGACATAAATAAAATCTGCAATACAAGCATGCTTATTTGGAAGATGACCATGGTGATATACAACTGCAGTAACTGCAGGTTAAGGACATGACTACAGGAGTGAAGGAAGAGAATCAAACACCTTGTCATTTCAAGTCATCTTTCTCCACACCTCATCACATCTTTGCCTCAACTCAGAAAACATGCTGCTTGCTTCATATAACATTTTTTTACCTGAAGTGGAATCCAGGGTTTATTCTTTTGTCATCGAGGCGGCGGAAACCATACTTTGGATGGCAGTCATAAGACCAGCTGTCCAAGTTACAGTCCCAGTTGATCTCAATGGCAATGATTCCTCCCTAAAAACAGACACAGTAAGCTTAGGGACTAGTGCTGTGATTGCTGCCTGTGCTAAACTGCTGTTAAAGTCAGCAGAGACTTGAGGGATGCCGTCAGCAGGGACATATCTCTATAGACGTGCTAACAAGCAACGTTTGGCAATCAAGCAGTATTCTATGGAAGTGACTTAGTTACATGACCTAGAAGCTACCACTCATTCAGGCCTTTCCTATCTTCTGTCTGTTTATCTTAGTAGCTCAAGTGTGGATGTAGCTGATATACTGTAACGGTTGTTTCATTGCTTTAAACTACATACAGACTCAAACCAAAAGTCTGAGTGCAAGCCTAAATTTTGTAGGCACTCAGTCCAAAAGTTTTGTCTTGAATGCACTGTGCCAGGCTGTGAATCAAAAAATGCGGCTCAACTGATGACTCTAGGCAGGATGCTTTGTCTCTGCTTTGATTTTACTCATCCGTTAATACTGACTTTCTAGAGGTGTGGCTGGATACCGTGTTAAGGGCATTGACTCAATACCCTAAAGAACATAGTGAAAATGTAATGGCAAAAATAAGTGCTTTTTGACTCTGACTATAAACTGCCATTTATGCCAGTCTGGCTTTTGGATTATTCCCCCAGCAACATGATTTAGGATCTGCTTGAGTAGAATCAAAAGATGACCACCAGTGACAGCTTTGTATAGGATCTATTTAAATGCACCGTGCTTTGTAAAAGGGCCTCTACATGCTACAATACTAACAAAATAATATCAACTCTGTCAACATGGGTCCCATCTGGTGTGATGTTAAAGTACATTTAATTCTTGAAAGTTGAGGTTACTTTGCTTCTCATACAATCAGTTTCCAAACCTAGAACAATGCCGTGTTATGGCAGACAGCAAAACATGCAGGAAGAGAATCAAGAAAATGTTTTAACACTGAGCATGAAAAAAAAATGGTATCACAGACCTTTACTGCCATCTCAGAAAAATTCTCTTTTGCTTCCTGAAGGATATCTCCCAGACGGAAAATTGGACAGAGCGGGGAAGTTATTTTGTTGTATGTGCAAGAAGTATTTAATTTTTGTGGAATATTTAGTCTGTGAAGAACACACACAATTGTTTAAATTTAAAACCAAGCTGAGGCAGCTACAGATACAGGTAAAGGACTTCACACTCACTAACTAGAACCTGTGTTAAATGTGCTGGGTTTATAAGTAAGCGAGCTTTTGGTTTTGTAGCTAGCAGATCTATATATACCTAACTGGAATCTGGGAATTAAAATGAATTCTTCACTTTTTGGATATTATCACCAGCAAAATTTTACCTGTGTATACTAAACACTTTCACTTCATAATTTGAATCACAGGTCTGTTGTGCTATATTTTAGTGATTTTACCCTAACATAAACCAGTGTATCTGAATGAACAATTCTATTTGTTGTCCAGTGCATGGGAGAAACAGAGTTATGCTGGGAGGCTCTGTTCCCAAGATCTCCTTATTTCTCTTGGTTCCTGAAGGATTATTAGGGCTAAAGAATTACAGAAACTTGGTACTTATCACTCCGGCATATACAGTCCTGAATAATAACCTTTTTGAATAAAGAAGGTGCCAATTTATACAATCATTTTTTCAGAGCACAACTACTCACTCTTCAGAAATCACTGAGGAATGTTTGCACTTACATGGTATAATTAAATTTTGGGAAGTGAATGTTGTTCTTTATTAGCACAGTGAAGTCTTCAGAACTCCTCAGAACAGCAGGACTAAAAAAGAAACATCAAATTAACTAACTTCTGTTACTTAAATACATCAGTTAATGTTATGCTACTTTACTATTACCTGGAAAGCTGTCAGTAGGAGGAATATGTTGCTAAGAATAACAGGCTGAAATGCAGGGAGTTAGGTGGCATAGGGGAAGAAAGATATAGGTGGTTTTCTTAGTTTTAGGTATAAATTGTTCTCCCTCTAATGCACTTGTTTGTGTGGGCCAGGCTTAACTGGAGTCTCTACACGCAGCTGAAATATGATCTCAGGAGACTTCACATAGGAATCTTGCTATAGAACAGTAATAAGAAATTACACCATTTGACCACTGATGATTTCTGCACAATGAATTGGCAGTTTCATTGCTCATCCTCACAGAGAGGTGGCCATTTACACCAGAGCTGCACAGCTAGTAAGAGTATAAGAACGAGCCATACACTCGATCCTAGAGGATGTCTCTGGAAGTCAGTTGTCAATCACATCACTAAAGGTTGTCCTGTCTTTCTAGCAGATACTGGTTTGAGGACCTTCCCTGCAGTGGTTTGTGTCACTAAATATGTAGGTGGAATGCAAACACAATGGAAAGCTGGCTGCCAGTCTGACCCTTCCTCAAAAGAGTGATTTCTCTGAAGCTAATACGGCAGGAAAAAAAGAATTTTCCCTCAAGTTGCCAGCTGAGTAACCTTGGCTAGATTGTGTGAGATAACCTCTGATACACTCCAGGACTTGCCAGGGCTATAGAAAAGTAAGAGATACAATTTTTAGCATTGTTTGTCTAGCATAGGGACTATGCTGAACTGGAATATTGGCATTGTTCCATTTTAAGAATGAACAAGGAATATTTTAATTTCCATCAAGACAGCCATTCCAAGGGGGAAACTCAGCCTTCAAAGCAGTCATCCACATAAAGGACAGTGCTTCTAAGCAGGGCATGTTTTTCCTATCATTGTATTTTGAGCAATGCCTCTGTATGAGAGATCTGTGATGACAAGAAGCATGTAAGCTGGATGACATGCATCTTCCATGAGAGACTTCTCATGAGTGTCCTCTAAACCAAGTCAGTGAATAAGACTCAATTGCAAACCAAATTAATATTTGTGGACACGAAAGTCACTGATAAGTTTCATGGTATAACAGTCAAGACATTAATAAGTATGTTAATTTTTAAGGAACTATACCTATAATGTGAAACTGTCTATAATTCATCCACTGGGAAGCATCTGGAATCTGATGCAAGGCTCTTCTGTCCTTCAGCCAGCTAATCTGACAACTGTGCCCTGCCTCACGCAGAAATGAACAATCAAAAATAAAAGAATCTTAATGCCAAGATGCAGTGGCTTTGTTCAGTTCCTGCCGTAACTAATGGGAAGGAAAAGGAGGCCTCCTGTATAGTTTATGAAACTTACTTCAAAGGAATTTGGACAATAAAGACAATCATGGGCATAACCAAAGCTCAACATTGCTATCTCAGTATCTCAACCAGATGGCAAAGCTTCCTGGGCTCTGACCTTGGTCTTATGTATCATTCTGGTAGAAAATAAACACTCAGCTTTGCCTTTTAGTGATTCCTCATTTTTTCCTTGCCAATGGAACTTGTGAAGGAACTTTACACATCAGAAGTTTGGATCAAACCTTTCCTCCATTATTTTTGGCCCCTAGTAGTGACTGACTATGGGCACTTTAGAGGAAGGTTAGGAAACAAGACAGAATGTGTCAACTGTGCAATGTAATTAAAAGCAAAATTCCCTCTGTAACATACACAGCAGTGAGCCTACGCAGTGTGACATTTAAAAATGACTGGCAGTCACTGAAACTTTATAAAAAACCCCTAGGATTTCATTAAGTCAGGAAGCTCATGCATATTTTTCTCGGATGCTGTGTGAACAATTGCAGCCTTCCTGTTGTTGGACGAAGCCTTTTTCAGATCACAACTCTGTCCACAGGAGAAGGGAATGGAAATTTTTTTAAAGAGCTGAAAAAAACTCAGCAGAAGGAGCTGTAGGAGTCACTGTGGGCTCTGGAGGGGACCTGACAGTAGAAAAACTGCTCAGTCTCTGCAGTAAGCCCCAAATTGGGGAAAAGATAGGATATATGCATAGAATCATGCTTGTATCTTTTAAAAGTAATGAGTTAATAAAAGTGATAATTGATTTAGTATCTTACACATATATTTCAAAGCTGGTTGAGAGGAGCTAAAACTGATTATCATTTGCTCTCTTAGAGTATAATTTCCACCATTTCAGTTGAAATCAAACCCTTTATAAAATTTTTTCATGCTTTGGCTGATACAAAATAGAAGTAGAACATTTTCATATTGGAACACTGTACAGTCATGGGCTTAAAAAAAAAGATGGCTACAAGGCCAATCCATCCTACTCTCTAGGTCACAGCAGCATTGTTCCATGGAGTCTTTTTCCTAGAGTTTTCTTCTGCTCATTATTGCAGACTGCCAATGTTCAGGTCTTCACCATCTACCTAGAGAAGATGGAGAGACTGTTCTTCAGTTTCAGGTGGATCCCCAAACACTAGCCTGCAGCACAATGTACAGACATCAAATCTACCCCTACTGCTCTGGGAGGTGGAAGCAACGTCACTGTGATAAATGAACCCACAAAGAACTTCTACACCATAGAGGCCTAAGCCTTGCAGAAGAAAACCCCAAGTTAGGAAACTTTTTATTTCTGTCACTGATTAAACTCGCCTTACATTGATGCATTTTCCTTGACATTTGAATTAATGAGCCAAATGCCTCTAGTGAATTCAAGATGAGCCTGTGACATCTAAAACTGTTTCTATGGCAGCTGCATGATGATACAAACTGGGGGCTATGACCTCACTGCAGAATCATACAGCAGGACAGATTGTTAGAAGTTATTTAGATATTATAAAGATTGTTAACAGTATGGCTATGAAGGAAATAACTGTTTTACATACATGAGATCTAGATGTGCCTAGGCAGAAGGATTATCCTAAAATTTCACACCTGTCAAAGTAAATCCTTCTTTTGACATCAATAAAATGCAGATATTTCTTTCACTTACTCAGGGGGGTTTTCCATGGGTTCCACAGGGCACCATGCCATGACCTCACAGGTTTTAACAGTTGTATTATAATCCACACATTTTCCCGTTTGAATTCCTGTAGAGAAACAAACTCTCTTACTCAGCAAAGACAAGAGTTTCTCACCAATTAGACACAGTTTCAATGTGTAAAGAGGATTCCTCCTCAAATGTAAGATAGGGAACTTGACATTTCAGATTGCTGCAGCTTTCTATAGGAGGAAGCTGTAGGAAGAACTACCCAAACCATGGTCCTGCCACACCCCACCAATCCTTATTTAGCTGTTTGCTTGGGTCAACAGTGCTTGTCATTGTTTGGGCTGAGGGTGAAGTAATTTCCTTTACAGTTTCATGTGAAGTTATGTATCTGAGTCTTGGGATGAATTGAGAAAGCAATTGTTTCAGTTAAAAGTTTAATTCAACACTGTAAGCAAATTAAGCAAGGATATAAAGATGGGTAGAAAACCTTAGTTCTTTCTGCACTCCTAGAAAGTCAGCATTTTTTGTGAGCATTTAATTTTTACCAGGGAAAGTGTTAATCCAGCCAGCAGCCCAAATTCAGGGAATCTCAGCACTACAAAGAACTCACATCGCTGATGAAAATGGTATGATGCCTTCTGGACAACTGGTCCCAAATAAAGGACTCAAGTCCCGACTTATTCTGAGAATTACCTAACCGTCATAGGGGTGTTACAGACCCTTCAAACAGATCCTGCAGTCACTCCACTTGCCAAGCAGCCACAGACTTCACTGGGAGTGACTGTGAGATCAGCCCTTACTTACACCACTCAGTACTCTTCTTCACATCCCCCTTTCCTCTGCTCCCTGCCACTGTTTCTCCTTTTAGTAAGGGTGCACACAAGCTGATAAGAACTCAGTTTTGTGGTTTTGGAAATAGGTTCTCGGATACCTCTTAGGATTCTGTACTGTTCTACTGCAGTTCTCCAAGTTGGATGTTGCACATGCTGTACTGGTCAATAATGCAATAGAAGATAGTACCTACAAAAGGTATTTCAATCTGAAAATGCCATTTACATACCATGACTGTGGATATCTACACTCCCTTTTTCACAGGACTTGTCTGAAGAGCAGATAGCTTTGGCAAAGGGATACTGAAAAAAAAATACATAAAATAGCAATATAAATATCTTCCTCTCCACACCTACATAAAAAGTCTTACTCAGCTTCAATGTAAAAATATCAAATAATAAGAGAAAATAATAATGCAGAACAGGCATAACCCTTACTGACTATTTAGCTTATATGAGATAAAGGCACAGTTACCTGCAAAAACATAAAAAAGCCCTTTTCTTGTTTACAATAACATTTTCCTTTATGTCTTTTCCCATTTTTCACACTCTCTTCTATACTATTAAGCACAACAAATTTAATACTGGACTATTTAATTCTTCGTTTACTAACAGTCCCATATACTTTTGCCAGTGAAAGTCAACTTGTATTCAAGAACTACTCTGCAAGGTCCCACTTCTAGGCCAGCCAAATGAAAAGGAGAGTTGCAGCTGATGAATAGGTTTGACCTACAGAAAGGAAGGAAGAGAATACGTAGGAATGAACAACAGTAGTAGTGAGAGCACCATATTAGCAGAGAAGCTGATAACAACCCTGTAGCTCCATCATTCCTTTGGCTTTTCCTCAAGAGCAGCAGCAATGACAGAGAAGCTGGACAGCAGTCACTGGCCTGAATGTCATCACCTCCTGAAAGCGATGCAGATAGGTTTGGCTGCAAGGTCATTGGTGCAAGGGAAAGTCACAACTGCCAGCTGATTCCCCAAGAAAGAAAAGGAGCAATTAAACTAGATCTTGCATGTTATCTCCTGAGATACAGACATAAAGAACAACAGTATTTGCTTGTACTAGACTGCTTCAAGGACAGTCCACTCTTTTACATCAACATGTATTCAATACATCCTAAGTATAAATCAGAAAACATATTTACCTCAGGGCATCTCTGCTCAAGCTGATTCTCTGTCTTAATGATGTTGGTCATCACGAAAAAAGAGTTTACTGCCTACATGGAGGAAAGAATATGAATCCGACTGAAATTTCACAAACTTCATTCAGACCTCAGTCATTCCAGAACATCACCTGGAAGGACAACAAGGCTGTTCCTGCTCTACCTCCCCCTGAGAGACATTCAGATTCTACCTGGCACAAAGAGGAAAAGCCAGGGACATCATCAGGGCAGGAATGAGTATCCAGAGGCAAAAGAGCACTGATTTTTTTTTAAACTGGCATTACAACTGAGAAAGATACACTAGCATTAATCGGTAATAACACTACTGTGTTTAGTACAGCTATACTAGAATGAATCTGTTCCCAAGTTTGCTATTACTAAAAAATTGATTATGTAAAAATTGTGTAACAAATAGCACCACAGAAATCTCGTAAAAGAGGGTATTTTTTTTCCCTTATATTAAGGGAGGAAAGGAAGATTTGGCTTTAAACATTCCTGTCTCCAATGTAAACTAATCACACTGAATGGTAGGGTAGAGACACATCACGAAAGCAATCAGATGTATCAATGGAAGTTGAATACTAGACTGACATTAAATTAAGACTTGCCTGCATTGGAATAGTGTATTCTGCTGTATCCCAGATCCTGTTGTCTTTGTAAGCCACTCCCTTCACACTAGTGCGAACTGAGCTGTTAACTTCATCCATCTCCTGATGGAGTCTGTAAATGATGACTATACAGCTGGCCGGATAAAACAGAAAGGACAAGGAAGCTCATAAAGATGAAACGGGTCAGACAAAATGCACTGCAAGATAAAAGTCAGATGGACATTTTAAAGTAATTAAGAGCCTTTTTGTGAGAGACACATGCACCCACTGGACCAAAGTCTGCCTTGGTTTCACTTTCGGCTTTGTCAGAAATTAACTGATATATGCAAGAAGAGAATTTCTATTTTCTCATCCAAAATGATATAGATAAAATGGAGGTAACATCCTGGCCCTTCAGATGCCATTTGTGAAACACCAATTAACTGCAACAGGGCTTGATGTCATCCAAAAACTTTCACCTGTGTTGCACTGCTGTGTACCTAGACTTTGACTTTTTCTGTCACAAACAGTAGTCTCCTCTCTACTTTTTTTTTTTTTTTTTTTTAAGAGAGCTTAAAATACTGTCCTTAACTCTCCAGAGTGACTATTTTTATGTCTCATATTGATTGCTTCACAAACCTTGGCCTAATGTTTTCACTTTCCCATTAATTGAATGTGTTAATAAAAGGAGGAAGGACACCTGTTTTTAAGCTGACAGGGAAGTTATATAGCTCATCTAACTCATAAAAGTATCGACAACTTTGAAAAACTACTGTATGTTTAGAAGATACCTTCCACACTACATAAAAGTGATATAAAAGGTTTGCTTTGAAAATAAGACAAAAGAGCTAGCACTATTTCAGTTCAACATGACTGTTCTAGGGAGGGAATAAAATAGTATCTGAAGAACAGAAATACAAAGCAACTGATCAGTGTTCCTTTATTTAGATGGTCTATTACAATAGCATATCAGCCTTTTCCTTGTGGAGAACTGTGCTTTGGGATAACCATGGTGTTGGGAACTGGCAGTGGGAACCCAGCTCTGAGCAGCAGTAGGTGGGTATATTACCTTAGTAAGGCAACTTGAATTTCCTGCAGACTTGATTCCTTGTGAGATTGGGATCAGTGTGCTCACTGTCCTGGCTTGCTGCCCTCCCATGAGAATAAAACCAACTTTATGAACATTGGCAGACTTTGTTCAGCAAGCACTTAGCACTGAGAACAGCCCTAGTTTGGCAGCAGAGAGGAAAATCTGCCCTTTAGAGACAAGCAATTATTGCATACTCCTAAAACATCTTATTGTTCTTGAAATCTGCTGCAAAGGGCAACTCGCCATTTCATCTGACCCTGAATAGGAGACTCGACAGAACAGACTCTAATCGCAAAAACACCGGTGTAAATCTGAGATTATTTGCTGAAGTTATTTTGGATTTTTCAGACAAGAAACAAAAACAGACAGCATGCCAAGAAACAAAACTGAAAGTGTTTTTTAGAGCAAGCTTACTTAACTGTCCAAGGACTGCACTTTGTTACATAACATCCTATGCCACGCTTCCACCACAGAGTTCCCACAACCATATCAACCTTCCAAGAATGGTCTAACACCAGATCAATGACCTTGGTTGCTGCCACAAAACTCAAAGCGCTGAAAGACAAGCTATAACCAGACAACCCCCAATACAAGAAACATTTGCTCATGTGCAACTCAGCGTCCCCATGCACTTACCAAATAGACAGAGCAACAGTTAGAGAAAGGAAACATTTCACCCATCCCCATGTAACACTCTGAAGGCGTATGTATTTCTGAGAGTCGTACTGAGTCAGGCTCTCCAGCCAGCCACTTACTCCCATTGCTGGCACTTCCTGCAAGATACAGGATTTTGAAAACTGCAGCTGCCTGGTGACCTCTTCTTCCACCCCCTGCATGCTTCCTGTGCCACCCCACTTAAAGGCACAGTCAGAATCCTGGATGAGAGTGGTACCATAGGCCTTGTAAAGAACGGCAGTTGATGAAATGGAGAACTGCCTGACGAGCCAAGTCCTTTGGTTTGTTCATAGAAAAACCACCAAATTTCACCCTGGAGCCGCACAGCCGATTGCTCAGTGTTGTTCTTGTCACCTTCTGTTTATGGCACCATCTCTCCTCAGTACCACCAGACTTTGCCAGTCTGAAGTAACGCTGGGACAACTGTAGACATGAGGACAAACAGATGGAATCCAGCATCACGTTGAGCTCCTTCTGTGCCTTATTCTCCACCACCCAACACTTTACACCAGCACAAAGAAGGTCTAATGCACTTATGGACTAGGCACATACATTCAACACCCACTTTGTAGAGGTGGCAACGGCCATGCAAGGCTCAGGGCGATAGCAAAGCAAGCTTTTGGATCATCAATGGCCACAGAGATCTCCAGCTTCTCCTTTCACATTGCATGGTACACCATCCTATTTGGTCTTAGATTGGTTTTGTATCAGGTCACGGGATTAAAAGGGTGTAACAACATCACTACTCCTCTCTACAGAGCTTACACATGGCACATACTTTGGCTGCTGCCTCTCCTGCTCCACAGAACCATGCACAAGCCAGAGCTCGTCAGTGTGCTGCAAGCCAACTTTTTGCATCTGGTCCAGGGGATCAGGAAGCAAGTGTGAGGCCACCATCTGACACTGAACACAGGATACGGAGCTGTCAAGATGTGAAGCTGTCAAGGTGGGACCTGTAAATCTCAGGCTGAGTCTGAAAGACAAGAAGCTTGGATCAGAATTCATCAGACCCAGATTGAAAGGACCAAGGTCCTCTCTCTTGAAACAGAAGACCCGCATAAAGGCAGAAAATAGACAAACCTTAGAACACAGATCTAATGGTTTTCTTCCAATCTTTCAGTATTTTAAATCACCTGGAATGCTACCTACGGCTGTAGTCATAACAAAACATTCAGAACCAGACAGGCTTCTTGGCTGTTGGTATCATCTTAAATGCTTTAGTGCACATGAACAAGTTACATTCTGCACAAACAGGCTTAATTTTTTGAGACATCAGTGATCACTCCTTAGGCTTTTGCTGATCACAGTCCATAACTGCTATGGTTGGTATTAGTGACATTTCAGCAAACAAAATCCTGCTACATAATAATGACTGAAAAAGCTGCAAGTTGGAACCAGAAACAGACCTGGGATGCATTTAGGTGTTAGAATAGCCACAAAGAAACTGATTTTTAATATAACACAGTCAGACTTATGTGCACATACACATATTTATAATAAAAGAGACAAACAAGAGGGCTCAGATTGCATAAACAAAGTAGAAGTAAGTCTCTTCTCTTCCTAAATGCTCTTGTTTTCACATTAACATCTTCCATCTGTTTGGGATCTGACCTCAGCAGCTCGGCTGGACGTATTCAACTTGCTTATGCTGTTCCCATATAAGGTGATCTCTCTTTGCCCGTGGAGCATGATTTTGATTTGCTCAGGTTTCGTTCCACTCTGATTTGCTGGCCTGTATGGTCGAGCTCTCTCACAGTTTTGCGAGGCAGTCATTCACACAGCAGTAGCTATAAAGGGAGGAGAAAGTCAGGAGGGAGTAACGAAGCAATGCCTGCAGCTCTAAAGAGCTCTGGATAGTTTATTTGCAGGCTCCATTCTCTTTTTTCTGCACATTGCCTCTGTCTTTTCAATAAGCAGCTTCCATAAGCCTTTCCCAAGCGATATAAAACATAAGCCCTATCCAGAGAACTGGGTGGAACTATAGGATGAACTGTTATAATTCCTCTTGTGTCATGAGGAAACTTTGCTTGAAACTCTGTATCACTCTCCATGCAAACTAACTTGGGAATTTGGAAAATGCCCCCAGAATTATACAAAATATATATATATGAACACTGGCGTCCCATTCTGTAAGAGTTAATCCAGATACCACATCACCCCAACAAAGATAATTTCAGACAAGTTAAGCATCAAACAAGTATCTTGGCTGCTTCCTGTTGTATATTTCCAAGGCTGCACTGAAGGCTATCATCTCTTTTATGTCTGTGAAGATTCTGTTGTAATATAGAGGTCAAGACACTGAGCTAAACCTCAACTTCTTTTAAGCAGTAAGTTTGAAAATTCAGACACCACTACAGACTGTAAATATCAAGCAGCACGTGGGCAGCCTGGAGCAGCAGTATGGCTACTTTGGGCTCCACGTATGAACAGCTTAAAACTGTTGGAAGAAAGGATCATGAAAACATACAACTTTAAGGATGACACAGGATCCCACATGCTTTCCCCAAGTTGGGAAGTCCTGTAGAACTGGGCTCTGATGTATGATTTTGCTCCTGCCTTCAATCAGTTGAGATTTCAAACAGGCCATCAAGCTGGAGCTCAGCCAGTTCAGATCTAATGACATCTGGCCATGGAAGTCTCCTTCCCCAAGAGTCAGAACAGACTTCATGGGTTTCCACGACAACAGAATGAAACGATCTCACCATCTTTTTAATTTTTTTCTTAGCTTGGTGTTTTCTCAGACATCCTTCCTTTTATCTGTTGCCTCTTTAACATTACAGAGAGATGAGAAGAGGGGAATGTTCCTTTGCTTCTTAGGTGTGGGGACTGAAATAGTCTGATGTAAAGGAGAATCTCAGAGCAGCACCTGCACGCTGTACCCAGCACAGATCCCTCTCCATCCTCAGCACTGTGGGCACAATTGCTCTCTCCTCTGCACCCAGGTCTGAAGAAAGGAGGTGTATCAGTATTTTCAGAAACAGTGTTTCTCTAGCATTCACCTCTTCCTATTACCTATTATTGTGGTCTGTGGGGAGCAGACCTGGCCTCCAGCACCTCCACAGGAAATACCATTTTCATTTGTTCTGTGTATTCTACAGGCTCAAAATACTCATCAGAAGAAAAGTGTAATCAATACCAGGAAAGCATGTCAAGAGAAAGTACATCTCTTCTGAGAATTTGTAGGTAAATATGATTCCTAAAGGTCAATATACAGACTGAAAGCACAAAGGAAACATGATCTGGTTTTGAAGTTCAAATCCAAGAGTCAGGAGACTTGGATTATGTTCCTGGCTCTACCACAGCTTTCATGCACAATCACAGGCAACCCATCCATCCCCTCTGGAACTTAGTTTAGTCAGTTGAAAACTAGGACACCAATGCAGTGTCGCTTTTCAGGCTTCCTGTGAGTACCAATAAATAAGTATTTTATGAAGTGTTTTCTGTTCCTCAGAAAGAAAAAGGGAGATAACCTAAGAGAGACGTGGTGCTTAAAACTGTGAAGTATTATGATTGCTATTTACTGAGTCAAATTCTGCAGTGATTTACAACCTGTGCATTTCAATTGGCACCAATTTAATATGACTCACTGCATATTTTAATCCATCATCTGTGGACTCACATGGGATTCTAAGACTATCCAAGAAGCTAATTGCAATAGTAGGGGCTCCAAAATCCATCTATTTAAGGCCTAAGCATGGGTTTTGAAGGATCTGCAACAAAAAACTTACAGATTGAGAGATACCCGTTTCACAAACAGCTTTTTTGAAGCTCCTGTCCTTGTTTCAGATTTAGCATAGCTATCATATTTATTGCTACTTTGAGGCACACTGACAACTGATGTTCAACCCCAAGGGCATGAAATTTCCATTTGTCCCTAATGAAGCCTGGGCATAGGACAGGCATTCCCATTTCACAAGGATCCTCTGTGCATTTTTCCATTTCAAAGAAATGAAGTAACTATTCACCTGATATGTACATCAGCCACACTTTCCATCTCTTTATGCTGCCAAAGACTGCCAGAAATCTTAATTGGGTAACTGCATCAATCTGTTTGTACATCTCCTACACATGCGACAACAGCCTCCCTCTTCAGAGACTGCAAAGCTATGTATATACTTTAAAGAGTGAATCTCAAACCTATTTCTGCCGTTCCTTGCATCAAGAGCACTTATGCTGTGAAGAAGCCCAAGAGCCTCGGCTGTGGAGTGCACCCCCAGCATCACCAACAGCAACCACAGCCAAGCAGCTAAACCCACCCGCAGTGGTGCTGCCCCTACCCCTGCTGCCTCACACCAGGGGCCTGCTGCTGTGGCACCGCCAACCAGCTGCCCTGCGGTGAGGAGCTGTGGATCAAAACCCCAATTGAGGGCGGGAAGAGGGAGACTGAGCGTCCCAGAGCCCCGCGGGGCCGGCGAAGAGGCGCGGCGGGAAGGGCTGCCCGGGACAGGCCGCGACGCGGCATAGCGCCGCGTTGCCTTCTCTCAGGCCGCAGCCGGCTGCAAGAGCAACGAAACAATCGAGAAAAGGGCAGCGATCGGCGATCCGCCCTCCGCCGGGAGAGCCCGGGAACGAACCGCCCGGGAACAAAGCGCCAGTGGCGACCGCGCTTCCCTCCCTACCGCTCTGCGCATGCGCGACGCCCCTCTCCCCCCCCCCCCCGGCCCTTTTCCAGGCGCGTTGGCAGAAGGGGCGCTGTAGCGTCGGAAGTGACGCCACCGCCCCGGCCCTGGCAACTGTTACCAGGGTAACCAGGCGGCGCGCGGGCGGGCGGGCTGAGGGGCGAAGGCCGCGGCCGCCTCAGGCCGCTGTGAGGGGCCGGAGTTTCCTTCGTTAGGTCGCGGAGTGTGTGTGTGTGTGTTCCTGTGTTCCCAGCCACCTCCTCCGAGCTGAGGGGGGCGGTCGGGCCGGGCCCTGCCGATCTCGGTGCCAGCTGAGCGCCTCCCGGCTGCCGTGTGGGCCTCGCTGAGGTGGTGCCTCCACCCGCGCTCCCCGCAGCCCCGCCGAGGCCTCGCGATCGCTTCTGTCTTTTCTGCAGAGGTTTTTTTCCAGGACACGATTATGAGTGATCAAATCCAGTTCATTGTTGAGAAGCTCAATCAGGAGCCCTTCAGGAAGAACTACAATTTAATCACATTTGACTCCTTAGAGTCAATGCAGCTGTTGCAGCTGCTCAATGATGTTCTGGGGGAGATTGACCCAAAGGTAAGGAAGCCAATTGGAGGTGCTCAGACCTGTCTAATTGCAAATATCTTAAGTGAGCTTGACACAGAAATTTGCTTTTCTTTAGGTTTGGCTCTGTATAATCTTGTGGCATGTTTGGTTTACCAAAATAGCTTGTATGAATCTTCCTGGAAATAAGTGTGCCCAGCAAGAATCATTTCTGTCTATACCTCTGTGTGTTTTCGGCAAACCAGGAAACGTTTCTTGGGCCAAGGATACTGGTTCCCTGTCCCCCAGAGACTGATGACTGTATATTTTTCATTGGGAATTAGGATACAGATCTTAACTTGGCTCATACTGATAACCACCGTGTTCTTAAGTCAAAAGCCAGGCTGTTTTGTACACATACAACAGGGCAGGAACTGATCAAGAACTGCACCTCATGATTTATCTGATGCAATAGATATTGGATCCCTCTCCTTTGAGGCTACCAAAAGTGTGTGTAAGATCAGAGGGGATCATTCATACATCTGGGGTGCAGATATGTGTGCTTGGCCGTGCTGGGATTTCTGACTTGGTGGAAGAAGTCAGGTTGTTTGCATAGATGAGGTCTCATGAGCAGGGAGAACGTATATCTAGAATCAGTTTACCTGAATACACATGTTGGAGAAAAATCCATTAGAAGAGAATGGAAGTTTGGTGTTAAAAAGAATGTTCCATATGGAGGACCTCACTTTGTTGACATATCGTGATAAATGGATAAAGTTAATTCTTCTAACGTTGCTAGTTAATTAACATGACTTGGACAAACAGTGGTTAATTATTTTTTTTTTTTTTTTTTTAAAAAAAACCTATTTAGCATGCTGTTGACATTAGAGAGGAGCTGCCGGAACAAACAGCTAAAAGAATGTTGAGTCTTCTTGGGATCCTTAAATACAAACCTCCAGGAAGTGTATCAGACTTGTAAGTATCTTTTTGTCTACACATAACAGTAAAACCTCTTTTACAGCTTATGTGGTAACGACCTTTCATTCAGTGGTTGTGTGTATTTTTGACCTCCAGTATCCCGGTGGCTGTGTTTAACACCTTGAAGACAACTCCTCTCTTGTCCCTATAGAATATGGTATAGGGGCTGTCGGCAGAAGGCTGCTGCAGGTGTAGGCTGCCCCTCCGGCCCTGCTGGAGCAGCTGCTATAGCGGAGCCAGCCAGGAGAGGGTGCCGCTCGACTGGAAGGGTCGGATCTTTTCCCCATCCCTCAAATCCAGCTGCCCGAGGCTGGATTGCACCCTCCCGCGCCAGGTTATAACCCAGAAAACCCACACTCTTCCCACATTGCCTTTATTCCCGAAGAATATCGCTGAAAAGGAAGAGTCGTTGTTGCTGGCTTTAGCGTTTTGATGTGTTATGGGGTTTTTACCTGTGTCAAGGTAGCAGAAATGGGATCATAAATAGCAAACTGGCATCATGAGTGTTTTCTCTTTTAACAGCATTAAGAAAATCATTAGAGAGGGAATGTGAAAATATTGAAAATTTTTTGTTCTAAACCAATGTTCTTTGAGATTTATTACTATTTTCTTTTTGTTATTTTTGTATAGGAGTGTATTTCGCCAAGGGTTAGTGACTGGAAGCAAACCTGTAATTCATCCTGTTTTACACTGGCTTCTTCAGCGGACCAATGAACTCAAGAAAAGAGCGTACCTGGCACGTTTCTTAGTAAAATTGGAAGTGCCAGCAGAGTTCCTACAGGATGATACTGTGGCTGACATCAACAAACAGGTAGCATTTCTCATGACTGCCAACATTTTACATTAATTAATTGCCAGTAGGAGGAGGAATAAATGAATCGGGGAGTTACTATTGAGATACATGTTCAAGTGAGTTATGTTAAGAGCATGTTAAAATCAAGGGTGGGCAAAGATTTGTAATAAGAACTATATGTCTTGACCACCTTTCTTCCAATAACCCTGAAATTGTATATTAATAGGTAGCATTGCATTAAAAGGTTCTAAGCCCATTAAGTACTGGGTACTAAATAATGTTCAGAGCTATGTTGGCTAAGACAGATTTTTATTTCTTAATTTTTAAACATTTTTTTTTTCCCTATGAACTACAACATGGATATTTTTAACTTTATAAATTACCACTTCAAACTAGGCTAGAAAATGTCCTGACCAAAAGCCAAAGTCTCCTAATTGTGAATTGATTGTATAGTATTTTAGCGCCATTTAATATTTGTATTAGCCTTATCCCACTTGTGCTTCAACCGTTTATTTTTTTGTGAATAAGTAAAAAATTTCTTTTTCCTGGGCTGATGTTCCTACTCATTATGTTCCCACTTCTTTTGTGAGCATTGAATGTTGATTTTAGATAGTCAGAGTGGGTGGGTTTGAAATGTAAAGCTTAAAGTGAACCAAAGTTATGTTTTTAGATCTGTATTATCTGAGGTACATATTTACCTAATTTTTATCCTGTTCTCTATGCCTTTCATTATGTATAGTGACTTGCAAAATCACAGTGGTTTTGAATGTTTGTAACGGAGAACTCGATTTATTAACTGCACTAGCAAAGCTGTATAGTCTGACTGAAGATAGACTAATCTTATTTTTTTGTTGCTAACAGTATTGGATTTATAACTTGGAATAACTAAGCAGAGGTAGCAAAGAGAGAAAGGAATGCAGATTATATGTTTTTTTCGATATGTCACAGTCTTAATATGTATAAATATCCAGCTCCATTATTTCCATTACGTAAGATGTATTCCTTTTTGGGATTACAGTAATATAACCATCTTATTAAACTAATACCCTGCTGATTAATTCAAAACAGAAGCTGGGATAATATACTGCCTTAATGTAATGCAAATATTTAGATACTAATGAATTAAAGAATTTAGCCTAAATTATTTAGATATACAGGCTTGCAATAGTGTCTTTTAAGAGAAACTTATCAAATATGAGAGTTGGGAGATCTTAGAACATGGTCAAGTTTTACGGGTGTATAGAGTCAAGCTCAGATGTACTTCTGTGAATTATTGGAACAAGATACTCAGAATACTTGCCACCTTCCCAATTGTGTTACGATTTAGACATCGGATTGGTTACAGTATATAATTTAAGAAGTAAGCAACTTCAGGCATAAATCTCGTTGTCCAGCCTTCAATAAGCTGCTCCCAGGCACCAGGATTCTTTCTTTCCCCTATAGGAACCTGGGTGTTCTTTGGTCGTTTGAGTGTCTCTCTTATTTTGAGTGTGCATGGGGTAGCTGCAGCTTTTATTCGGTGAAAGTGAGAAACCTCCCCTGCATAGCAAACTGTGCTATGCCCTTGTTTGAATCTTGCCATTGGTCTTGAAATGTTGTGTCTCAATAAGGAAAAGACTTACTAAACTCCCCTTTTGAAAGAGGTTGGGAACCCACACAAAGGAAAACTGTTGGACATCACCAATCGTGAATATAGTCACTCAGAGACTACCTGCTATTTCAGTATTTGTTAAAGTATATAACTTCTATAATGCCTAAGTGATATAATGCAGGCCAGTTGCATTTTTACTCCTACTTCTTTGTAACTCGTTCTTCGTTGTCCAGCGTGTGCATACCTTATCATACCTTTATTTGCCATTTAGTCAAGCTCTTTCTCTATTATTTTATTTCCTTCTCAGTAGCCATTTTATTGCTATTTTTTAAAATTTGTTCCAGCTTGTCAGTGTGTGCCTGATACTGAAACAAACAAAAATGAACAGAGCATTCTGGATAGTGGTTCCCCAGGGGTTTGTAGAATAGAATTGCTGCTTCACTGCTTGGGGGTATGATGCTTTTGTTTGAACTGGCCTTTGCTGTTGCCATTTTGTGTTCAATGTTCATATCAATTGCTCTTTCCAGGATGTAAGAAGTGACTTGATATTCTCTTTTTAGATTTTTTCCATCTCATTGAATGGCTGTTTCTGTGGAGATTATCGTCCCTTACATCTCAGCTTGCATTTCTCAGAGTTGAATCTAAATTTATATCCTATCCATATTTCTAAACTCTTTCTGTCCCCTGTTATTTCTCTACCCACACAGACTTTCACACTGCCTCTCAGTTTAAGATTACTGGTGGGCAATGTACCGGTGTGGAAGTAGCGCACTGTCTACTTCTTTCTAACTACCGAACTACATATATCAATCTCTTCAATATACTGAGGGCATGATTATGCAATGTGTCAAAACTATTTCTCACATGTTAAGTCAGGTGTGCTCTTGGACCGTTTTGCTGGATTGAAGCTCAGTGCTCTATAAATTCAAGCCCCATTGCTTCGATCAAGCATGTTGTTAGATTAAGCTCTTCCTTTTTGGGCTGATAAATTTATGTATGTGATATACACCGATTTATAGTAAGAAAGAATAATTTGTTAATATAGCATTGTCCCTTTCAGATAACATCGTGTTTTCTTGTTTTGAAAATACACTTTTTATTACAAAAGAAGAGGTGAAAATAGTAAAGAAATTGTGATGCTTCTGTGTGTACCTTCAAATGGAAGATAAATCACTGTGATGTTCTATTTTTGCTTTATAAGTTGACAAGCTTTTGTGATGAAAAGATGCCTTTAATTCTTGTTCTCACGATGTTTCTATTTCTATATTTACTGACTTAGTAGTAAAGCAACATGTTGATCTGAAAATCCTTAGACACAGAGCTCATTCTGAATGATTTTTATTTCATTTTATAGTATGAAGAACTGATGGAAGCATTTAAAAACCTACATAAGGAGTGTGAGCAGCTCAAAACATCTGGTTTATCTACTGCAGAAATAAGAAGGGTAAAAAAATCTGACAAAATTGCACAACTTTTGTTTAGTGGGGTTTGTTTTGTTTTGTTTTGTTTTGTTTTGTTTTGTTTTCTGAATGTCAGTTTTATTTTTGTTGGTTTTGTGGACTCATTGCAGTGTATAAGTTGTAGAGGCCAGAGCTGGCAGGCACTGCAGCTGCCTTTTTGAAACTGTTCTCTGTTGGCAAACAGTTAGAAAATCCTCGCTCATGCTTAGAACTGAGCTTTCTGTAGCAGATTGGGAAACAAGGCTGCCAAGACTGTTCAGCATGATTTTCAAATATTAGAACTCCTTTTCCTGTGAATGCAAACTGATACAAAGCCTTTTGCTTTACTGATATAGGGTAATAATTTCAGAGGATGTTGAATTAATTAAGAGCTTCAGTCAACAAAAATTATGATCCTGTGTGGCTAAGGTGTTAAGGACGGATATTTGCCCCATTTCAACAAAATATTGAAGCATGGGGTACAGCTTTCCAGTAAGACGTATGGACAAGCTAAGCAAATGTTGAGATAAGGCCTAAATTTGGAGAATTTATTTCCCTTTCTCTTATAACTATCAATCTCTGGAATCCTGCTGTTGTAAGATAGGATTAAAGGAGAATAATAATCGGATACATGTTTTAACACTAGAAAGTGTCTCTTAACAAAATTTTAATAAAGTGGCAGCAAACATCACTCGTATGCAATGTCATGCAAAATTGTCTGCCAGGAAGTGGGTAATGATGGTAACATTAAGAACATATGTCTGACTACATCAGATGTAGAATTCATGCTGATTTTTGCTTGGTTGTTTCTGTTTGTTTGGTTTTATTTTAGAGAAATCGACCTGCTTTTACTTTAAATGTTCACACTAATATTCAGGGATGCAGATGAAGCAATGTTAGCATAAAGAGGGTAGGAACTGTGGGGGAAGCAAGACAGAAAAGAGAGATTGAAATCCTGGGTGTTCTGGTCATAGATCAATAAAATTATAACTGCTTCAGTATATTCAGAGAATTCTGATTTTCATATTAATTTGAACAGAGTTTAGTCCAATCTGTATTATATTTTAAATAAATTAATATTATCTATTTTTTTTCTGCTTTTTAGGACATCAGTGCAATGGAAGAGGAAAAAGATCAACTCATCAAAAGAGTAGAGCGTCTTAAGAAGAGGGTAATAAGAGAAGTAACACTGTTACATTTCAGTGTCATAATCCTTGGCTTGCAACTCTGATTTTGGAATGCAAACAAGGATTAAGATAAACATACTGTATGTCTGGGAAGGAATTGAATAACTAATTGACCCACAGGGAATCTCCCTAGGCGTTAGTCCAGAGCTTTTAAGAATCTTGAGTCCAGTGCTTTGCTGTCATTTCGGAGTAGTAACATGTATGGAAGGGAAGTGCTAAGTGGGCTTGTGAGACATATGATCTCTTTAGTGTATTTCTCAACTATCTGACAGTAACATGCACTATTTATCCACTTGCTGTAGGTGGAGACAGTACAAAATCATCAACGAATGCTTGAGATAGCAAGACAGCTTCGCTTAGAAAAAGAGAGAGAAGAATCTTTGGCTCAACAGAAACAAGAACAAAAAAATCAGGTACTGACATAAAAGCATACCTGTTAAAATAAATAGCTGTTGATGTTTGTTTGGGAATCATGCATTGAAAAAAAATACATCAGGAACAACAGTACAGAGCTTCTCCCAATACCAGAAAATTAAATCCCATTTAAAATATGTATGTACATTTTAAGGGAAGAGGCTTGACCCTGCAAGTTTTGAATGTCTCATTCAAGGTACTTGGCTGTCTCAGCTGCAACTGACATCATCATTTAGCAGTCCCAGGAAATGTTCCATGACTTACTGTTGTAGCACCCGAAGAGAATTCTTTATATTTATGGTAGTGAGCAAATGTTTCCTTAGTTTTATTTGTATATCTGTGCATCTGTGTTGAGATTTCAGCAGCTGGGGAACACAGCGAGTACCTTGGCTTTTCACTGGGTAGGGGAATATGTTTTCAGAAACAACCTTGGGGTTTTGCTCCCTGAGTTTGACAAAGATGATGTCCTAGGAAGCACTGGAAGCAGTTGACATCTGGATATAAGGGTGGGTTTTCTTCTTGAGCTATGTTGTCAAAACAAGATACTTTAATAACATCCAGTGCCATATTGTTATATCTCTCAGCAAATTTTGTAGCGTGAACTTCAACACTGTATTGAAAGGGGGAAAAAGCCCAAATTTCTAGTATTGCAGTCAACAACTGGATGTGGAATCAATGTGAATCAGTAGGCTTTCAAGCTGCTGGGTCTTTGAACCTGAGTGAAATCACAAGCAAAATGAATGAGATGTCCAACTAATTCCAGTTCTTAGTACACATCTCTCTAAATCACAGAAATACTAATCAACTGGGTGTTGTTTGGCAAGAAGCTCTCCAGCGTGCTCTCAAGTTGGACAGTGGATGACTGTGACAACTCAGCTGCACTGAAGAACTGCAGGATAAGGATAGTTATCTGCTGCAATCCTGATTCTTGCTGTCTTTTTTTTGTTGTTCTGATGTTTAAGCCACTCATATTTTTGGTTGAAAAATTGTTTAATGAACTTCTGCCATAGAGAAAATATCACTTGGGAGTGCAAGAATACTTTCCTTAACTGACACTGGAGAATAACATGTAAACCCAGGCCATTTGTTGAAAATTTGTTTTGGCATGTTCCCTTGTGAAACGTAATCACCAGATGCATATAGCTACCACTTTTTATATTTGGGATTCTTTTTGATACTCTTGTTTTAGTATTAGTAGTTTGAATATGCATTGCAAAGGAATGCACTTATGTGTGTCCAATTCTCTCTCAAAAGTTGTTCCACACAGAGCAGAGACTACAAAGAGTACAGCTCCAGCTGAAAGAGATGCATCATGCAGTAGTGGATTCAAAACCTGAAAGTAAGTAGTATTCTATAAAGTCTGGGAGTTTACACTTCTCTGTTAGAAATGAAATCAAAACTGGATGGCTGTCAGTAATATGGTAGTGCCAAAAAGCACATGGGAACCTAAAAGAATCTAAAGAAAGAAATAACTTGTGTTCTAAAGGCACATGCTGGAGATCCTAAGCCTGAACTTGTCTTGCCACAAAAAGCCAGGGAGAGAATCACAAGGGCAGATGATATCAGTCATATTTTTGAGGTCTACTTTTTAAAAAAATCTTAAACCAGTTAAATGCTGAATACTAACTTTAATAGTCTGCAAGTAAAAAACAGTTGGAGCTACAATGGTTGGAAAAAGCAGAAACCCTTTACTAAATCAGAACTTTGTCTTTTCTAAGGTTTTATGCCTTTTGTATTTGTAATTAGACATTGGTGAAATACCGCTTCTTAAAAATTTTCTCAATGAATGTATGAATACATCAAATACTATGTTTTATTCACTGTAGGCTTGTTTTTCTAGTTACCTTTTATAAAATATTTGTTCGAAAAGCTTTAAGGCCTGTTTCTTATTGTAGTGCAGTTTTGTGTTGTAGTTTTGTATGGTATGAAAATAAAGCTACTTCCTAATTAAGCTTTTTTAATAGATCATGGATTATATATGCAGACATACACACAGTTATATATGATTATGTTTATAAGTCTATATATTAGATATGTATATACTGAAGCCTATATATTTATGGATTAACATATCTGTTTATGTGTGAAACTACTTTGTTCTCATACGACTGTAGCTGATTGAGTTGTATTATATTAACATGGCAAGAGTGCTTCTCTGCATTTTCAGTGATATCTCAGTCTGCAAATAACCTCAGCAAAATAAATGATATTACTTGTGGAGTAAGTGAGTACTCTTTGATCATTTATAAAACTAGCAGGAGGGAGGGAATTGCAGTTACCACATCAGTGTGTAACTGTCTCCAAAGGCTACAATTTGACAACCTCTAGGTTTCTGATGATTTAATCACTTTGAAGCAAATGTAACAAGGAGGAGCCTGGCAGTTTGACAACAAAACTGGGAGATGGTTTAGGGTTCAGTGTTTCAGATGTATGTGATCTTCAGCAAGTTGCTTAACCTCTTTCAGTTTGTCTCTTGCACTTGGTTATTAACACATCACAGGATTGATAGAGGTTTTATGTGCTGTTCATTGGGGTTGATTTATAGGGAAATACTTTACTGCATGTAAAGTAGTGTGGAGGTATATGACTCAGAATGGTCCTTCTCACAGGGCTTTTCCAGTTGCATTTTAACTTTCTGTGATAAAAAAAGCCATAGAATGATTTTTATTATATGTATAAATCACTTCCAAAATGATAGAATCTGACTATTGATTTAAACTTAGTAAAGTCAGTAATTGTCCTACTCTTTCAAGTACATTTAATATTCCAGTTGCTTTGGAAGCTGTTTTGAATTAGAGAATTTTTTTCAGTCACAACCACATTGTGTTGTTATTACTTAGTAATTTTACTTCAATTTTTTTACGATGCTCATCAGCCACTGAACCACAGATGGAACTAAAAGAGTATCTGAACTATCTTCTTTACTCAAAAGGACCTGCAGTGGATTTTATAACTGTTCCATTTTTGCAGTAGCTATCGGAGACTTTATACAGCAAAGCTGTGTCAACATTTCTATTTCAGTTCCTGGGGTTTTTTTTAAGGCCAAATGAAACTTAATGGGTTCAGTTCACAGAAGCAAAGGTAACATAATAAAAAGCCAGTAAATGTGTCATTTAATCACTGACATGAAAATAAAGTTAACATATTTAATTTCCTTATCTTGAGTCCTGCTTGCAGGGGAAAAAAAAGTGTTTGGATGTTCTGAAGAAAAACTTGGAGTCATTACTTAGGAAAACTTGTGTTGAAATTTTGCCCAAACAAAGACTTCAGGACTTAGCTTTATAATTGCTTTTCCCCATAGTAGTTACAAAGACACTGCCTGCAGTAGCAATTACACAATGCCAACTGTGTTTTTTTAAATAATTGAAATTAGGTGACCACAGTGCACTGAATAGGATTCCATTTATTTTAAAAGCTTTGTTGGTCTACGGTTAGCACAATTTATTTTATTTCAAAAATTTCCCTTTGGCTGCAGTTTGGTCCCTCAGCTGCCGACTAGTATCAGTATAGCTTGTATGCTGGCAATTCAGTGGCTGGTTGGTAGGTGTGGATTTTCACTGGAAGTTGCTTTCCTTTAAAATAATTTTCTTCTGTTTTTAATATTCAGATGTTTTAACTTCCAATGCAAGATAAAATGATAGAAGTTGTTAATGAGTATAAGGTTTTTTGTTTGTCTTTCAGATGGATGCTGCTTTGATTACTTTAGCTTAAAATTAGTTTAGGATAAAGAAATGTAAAGGAACTCTTAAGGGATGCACCTAGCACATATTCATGAGTATCACTAACATGCAATTAGCATCAGTCAGCTTTAGCTGTGCCAGGAAAATACAGCTTATGGTTAGTAGGTTTTTAACACTTAGAATACTTTGTATTGTATTTCTAAATATTATATCATGAAAACCAGTTGATTGTTATGAGATGTTTTATAGACTAAAATTGATCATACTGGTTTCCACAGTATGCTCCTTTCCTGTTTATTAACTTTAGCACTACTCAGTGTGTTGTCTAACTACAGAGAAGCAGTTGCTGCTGGTAGCACTAAGTAGCATGAATTTGCTGTTTCTGACTTTTTTTGTGTTGTTGTTCTGGATATGAACAATATTTTTATTAACACTGACCACTAGAGTTTGAATAACCTAGCTCATGCTTTCTCAGCAAGGTTGCCATCTTTTTTCTTTGAATATCTCTGCTGGCACAAACACAAATTGTTAATGCCAAGAAACAAAATGAATTACTGAAATTCTTGATCTCTGTCAATTTTACAGGACATTATTGTTCACTTTATTGGCAGAAATACTAAGAAGTAGATGACTAACTTGAAAATATTGATTAAAAGAATGTGTTAAGATGATTGTTGTTGATAAACAGTGAAATGTGTAATTTATATACTTCATTAAGTTAATATGTAGTAATAGATTTAGAGCACTGAACACTTCAAAGACACCAGTCAAAGAGGAATTGCTTTGTATAGATGTCTGTTTTATGTAATTCTGAACACTTGGTGAAAAAATAGAAATCAAGGATGCTATTAAATGAAAACATTAACGTTTTTCTTTTCCTTAGAACTATCTTTCCCTAAAATTCCAAGTTTAAATGATGTCCACTGCAATTCATGTTACAATTAAAGCTATAGATGTATTTGGTAAAAGAATGGCTTAGGTGGAACTTTATTTTTGTCTTTAAATGATATTTTTTTTTATTATAAAGTCACTGTCAATTGATGCAAGGTCAGGGGTAAAGCACTTTTAAGCAGATTTGATATCTGTGATGAGAATACAAGTCTGGTAATTAATAAAATACTATTAGCAAGATTAATAGTATTGCTGTGGTTGGCTTTTTTAAGACCATTGACTCTTGCACCCCATTTTGAAGAATGAACGAGGCAGTAAAAATTCAACACAATCTCTGTTGAAAGGATTAAAAGGAGTTTACTGGAAGTTTTAGAAAGAAAATTAATTGGGGTATCATCACTGAGTGGATGTGTTTCTAATCAGGACGTGCATAAACCAGTGTTTGGTTCTTTTTTTGTTTAGTATTTGTATCAGATATATGAAAGAAAATAGCAAATGATCACTAGTGAAATTGTCAGGCAAAATAAAAACTCAGGAAATGACTGAATAATGAGGAGAACAGACTGTTGATTCAAAGTGACCATAATGACTTAGGAAGCCAAGCCCATGCCAACAGTATATATTTTAAGGAATAGCCAAATGCCACTTTATTCCTCTAGGAATAATGTATATGCAATGTAGTTACAGCATGTGGGACTCTTTCTTAGGAAGTGACCCTAAAAAGGACTTGTGGGTCATGGTGTAAAAATGGTAGAACTGGAGCTCCCAGTGTCAAAGATTTGGTGCTACTCATGCATTTATTTATTAAAGAAAATGAAATAGGAGAGTTATATTACCCCTCTTTGTAGCTCTGTTACGTTCATCACTGCAACACTGTGTCCATAGACCAGAATTCAAGAGGAGTGTTGAAAGGTCAGAGAGATTTTTCAAAGAGCATCATTAATAATTATAAACATGGAAAGCATAACTTACAATGGCAAGTTCAGGAAGCTTTTTAGTTTTTCAAGAAGGTATCAAAGGGATGATTTGATCATAATCTATCAGTGTCTGCATGTTCCAGGCTTCTGTTTAATACAGGGAAATTAAAAGTGATACCACTGGAAGCTGTGGAGGGAATCAATTTCCGTGCTCTTGCTGAGGATGACTGCAGAAAGGGAGGTGAAGGCTTTGGTGTAAGTGAATGCCATGTGGAGGTCTGTTCTGTATGTGCCTTTGCTGTGGCCTTCCTGTGTGATATTAATCAAAGTGTTGGCAGATAGTCTATAAAATGAGTGTGCTTTTTTATTTTTTTTTGCTTTTTTTCTTTTATTTTTTTTTTTTTAATTTTTCCCTTGAAAAAAAACCAAACAGTTTTTGCAAATGGATTTGGTATAGGGTGCACCATAGGTAGGTAGCCTGTAGAGGGAAAAGAAGTAGGAATCTGAGCACAAGGTGAATCAAAATCCATTAGTAGAATTATGCAGAGAAACTTGCCACTTTCCTACATGACTGAGCAAGCACTGAGAAACTCTTTCTCCCATCCCTCTCTTTGTAATAATAATAAAAAAATTTGAATGGAAAACATGAGGAGTTGCTGTTAATAGCTTTCCACATGTAAATACGTGGTTGGCAGAACCTTGCTAAAATAACCTTAGGGCACAGAGCCAGACTTTCTGTGCAGCTTACGTATGTAGATTTTGTAACCATAAGTCAATGTTAAAACATTAAAAACAGAATTTATATGTGTAATGGAAAGATTTAAAGCATGCTTGCTTTTCTTTCCTCTAGCCTGGGAATTTGAAAAAAGAATGTTTTTCACTGAAAAAAAACAAGATAAAACAAGAGCTGCTCTGTTTTGTTTTTTAAGGTTCAGCAAAATTAGTTCTTGGGTAGTCACTTCTCCATATGTTGAATCGTATAGGAGGAAAAATATATCCAAAGTATTTAAGAAAGAAACTACATTAGTCAAGAGGGATGTTGACATCATAATGTCTTTCCCCAGTGAGATGTCAAGTTTTAACTCGCTTCATTGCTTGTGGCACTGTCAAGAACAAGCATGATGCAGAACCAGTCAGTGTTTAAAAGAAGTTGGTAATAGCTCTCAGGTTATCTAAGAAATAAATCCAGATAATGATCAAGGTTATATCCTGTGAAGTCAGTAGGTCCCCGCCTTTATGAAAGCAATTGTTTAGGTATGGTTATTTCCTGAGGTTAGTGTCATATCTGCAATAAATTATTTAGTACATTTTATAAGAAAACAAGTAGTACTAAGAATAAAGTATAGGCTATATATGCAGATTCTTTTTGCTACTAAGAAGAAACCAAGAAATCAGTTTGGTTAAATAAAAATATGAATAATTAATATCAGAATTTAATTGATATCACTTTGATTTCCACATCACAGCTTTTGGTTATAAATATCAAATTGGGAGTTGTGTTCCTAGTCGGTTCTGAGGTGATAATTCAGCTCACAGTGTACGTGGGAAGCTGTGCTGCATTTGCAGAGGTGGTAGATTTCTAGTGAGACATTAAAATGTGGTCCCTCCTGCCCAGCTCTGTTGTGGGCTGAAGAAGACTGAAATTGAGTTCTTCTGGAAGAAAGAAGTGGGAATTCTCTCTCAGTAAGCCCAAGTGTGTTCCTCGGGGTACAGCTGTACTGCCAAGTACATAATGGCTATTGCATACGTAGAGTAACTCTGCTTGCCATTGTGAAACTGCAGTTGATGCTGTTTGTTTTGCACAAGGTAAATGACCTTTTCACCAAGGGGAAAAGATTGTGTGGTAGTGTTGCTTTTCATAAACACAGAAATCAACAAACTAAACCAGTGGAAAAGAGGAATTCCCACTCATTTTTAGTTTGTGTTGACTTGACTTTGCTAGCAACGCTGCTTTCCCTAGGATCTGTTTTCTTGCTTCTATTTCTTGAGGGTTTCTCAAAAATAATGGCTTATTTCCTCTCTGGCAGCTAAAGCAAGTAGCTTTCTTTCAGTCTGAGCTGGGAGCAGAGGATGAGGAGGATCTGTCAGTACGGTGTTTCTAGCGATAAATGGTGGCAGAATAACGGGGTCCCTTTTCCTAAGCTTGTATTTCACTTTGTTCTGACCTTCTCCTGTCAGTCAGTGATGTGGTCGGCAGGCTTTTTAGCCTGGGAACCAAAAACTCTGTTTTCACCTCCATCCTCTCCCACCTCTGTTTCAGCAACACCAGCTGTACTACTGTATCTCTGTACTTGAGCTTTTCTCTGCTTGTGCACTATATGAAAGAGGCATGTTTTACTTGGCATTTCGTGGCAATTCCATATTCTCCCAAATATGGAAACTCCCCCCTCCAAAAAACCCCACCCAAATCTAGCAAGTAGTTTTAAAAAAATACCTGGGATACTTACCTTTTAGTCATCTAGATCATGAAAAATATTCTGAAATACCTATTCCCACTCTCATCTGACATATAACTTCCAAATCTTACTGTAGTCCTTGGCACAGGTGTCTCGGAGGAGTAATTGCACTAAACTGCCTGTTGTCAGCAAAGACTGTGTAATGGAATTGAAATAGATGCTTTATTTTATTCTGTCCCCTCTTTCTAGCTGTATATTGTTCTTATCTGTATGTACCTGCCTTTGTTTATAAATTATCTGTTAAGGAGGCTAAATTACTCTCTCTAGCAAGAGCCAAATCATCATAAGCATGGTGATGTGCAGTGTGCGTTGGGCTTGTGGAGAGCAAAACTTCTAAATAGGGTTGCATTTCGCAATGGAATTTTTGACATTACTGAGGAATTCCTTGTTTTTTCTATTTTATTATTATTTTCAGCGTTCTCAGTCTAAATACTGTCCTGAGATGAAGCGCTTTTTCTTACAAGAAAAAATAGCGTGCTATTTACAGGGAGATTTGTAAGTCTTCCAGCAATATAAAAGACCCTTGAAGTAGATATACGTTAAATTCTGCTCATTTTAAGGCCTCTTTAGATGCCAGATTGGAATAAAGTTTTATTTTAAGGGAGAATTTCCAAAGATATAACAAATCTATACATGAGCTAGGCCAAATTAAGATCTTTGTACAGATAAAGGATTCATCCTGAGATAATTTCTGTCTGTAGATGAAATAATTCACATGAAAGAATGACCTATGCAATCCATGTGTAGGACCAACTTCAGGATGCTTGCTCTATCCCTCTAGCCAGGGAACTTCCAAGGAATTCAAGCTTTGAAAATGCTCTGAGCAAGTCAGCATAGCTGTGACATGCTTTGCTGCCCCTCATCTTGCATGTGCATAAGCAACAAAAGTCTAGCTCTTAACTTTTTAAATTTCGGAAGAATGTAATTCACAACACAGAAGAAATAACAGAGAATCCAATATCTTAATGTGTGTAAGACACACGTAGAGTTAATGGCTTACTGTATCTATGCTGCATGTTGAATTTTGCATCTGATTCAGCTGTTCTTCATATAAGAAGAATATTTGTTTATTGATGAAAAGAATCTGTCAAGGAGTTAATAGTTCCATGTTAGAGATACAGATGGGTAATAATACCTATTACATTGTTTAACATCCAGATTAAAAATCTAAATCAAATAACTACCTGTTTCTGTGAGCGTTGAAAAGAAGACTCAAATGTTATGCTGCTGTTACTGTAATCTGCTGCTAAATACTTCATTGTGTTGGTGAAATCAAACTCAATTATCCGCTACATTACTTTTATAGACACACACTGATTTAATTTGTTTTTAAGGTTTAATGAAGAAACTGGAAGAGGAGATAAATTTCAATTCATACCTGGTTACTGAAAAAATACCTAGAGAGCTTGAAAGTAAGAAGAATTCAGTGTATTTCTTACAAAAGGTGGTTGCAGAGCCAGCTATGAGTCAATCTGATCTCAATGTACTTGAAATCAAGGTAAGCTGACCACGATCACACTTAGTTTGTGTTCCATAGCATAGTCTGAGGTTCTTGTACACTGTAGTTTTCTTATCCCTACTTTATATCCTTGTGAAAATGTTTAATTCCCAAAGGAATGTCCCTTCAGTTTTAATCCAAAAGGGGATGTGTTAATCACTAAATGCAAAGTCTCAGAGAAGTTTTTTGAAAAAACCCACAAAACAAACAAACAAAAAAAACCCAAGCCAAACCCAGCCATATCCTTAAATCTTATTTAGAAAATTGTGTTAGCAATTTGCTATGGCATGAGCAGAGATGTTGATGTAGCACTAAAGGTTTGATTTTTCTTCTCTTCAGATTTCACTTGTTTTAAACTCTCACTGACATCAAGGGAGTTTATGCCAACACAGAGAGTGTTTATGGAGTGGTGAACACCATTCTGAGTGATATATCCTCACAATATTATGTCTTAATCAATGTGCAATGGCTCAGAACTCCTCAGTGTTTGGAATAGGTCTATATCATTTGTGTTAGTTGGTAAGACCAAAGGAAATTTGAGTATCAAATACTTGATTTACTTTTCCTTTTTTTTTTTTCAGAAGTTAAAAGCAAATTGTGTTAGAATGAGCAAAACACCTTATTTGTAGTATGTATCCAAAATGTGCAGAGGGATTTGTTGCCACAGAAGTACACATATATTTCACTCAGTGAAGTTTTCATATTTGCATAATCCTAAATGAAAGATTAAATACATAATATTGGGTTCTAGAAGAATTTAGAGGAATGCTAATAATTATTATTTCTATTGGTGGTGATGAAGATTTACAGCAATGTTAGGGTAGGAAGACTAGTCCTACATACTATTAGGTACACTGTTCAGTCTAAATGTCAGCTTATCAGTTTTTTAATGTTCTCAGGATCTCCAACTCTGGCTTTGCTGTGAAAGACAGGTAATGAGGAAACAGAGTATTTGTAATAGACCAGAGACTGATTTACCCACAGGCACGAGGGCTGCCACCCGCCGTTCTTGTGTCTTGAAGCAGAGACGTTCCGCAACTCCAACAACATCATACTAGCCTGTGCACTCACACAGAGAACATGCCAAAGTAATGCAATAAAGAAATGCCCACGGCTTTTTTGGATCAGACAAGAATCAGCAGTCAAGTATCATCAAGAATACATTCTATTTTAAGGTTAAGACTACTTTTTACAAAAGTAAAATCAGTGACAGCCTAATGCCATTTTGGATTCCGATTGTTATACTTTTAAGGATGACAGCATTACTAAATGGTAGATTAGGTCTGAAATAATAAACCAGCTCTGTGATTCAGCCTCTGCTTTCCCAGTTCATTTCTTCTAATCAAAACAGTATTTGTAGTTGCAGTTATTTCTTTTAGGCATAATTGAAGCCCTGTTTTGCACCTTTCTTTTCCAAGAGTATTGTTAGATTTTTGGCAATATTTTAAAAAGCTTCAAGGTTGTGGGATTTTTTTCCTCTTTTTCCATGAGGTAACCTTTCAATTTGTTGCATTTTGGAAGTATATTCTTCTTAATAGAACATAAAAACATGTCATATACTTGGCTGTTATCACTGCATGCCCTTAGACAGCATTTTTTTTTAAAAAGTCAGCCTTCTTTTATCTCAGTGTCTTAAAAAGGAGCTGACTTGCTCTAAGCATGCTCCTATCATGTATTCTAAAATATATAAACCAGGAATTTATTCACAGAAGGGAATTCTTATGCCATCTTCAAATTCAGGCCTGTTCTGCCACTAATAGCTTTTGTAAAGGAATAAAATTTACAGGAGATTTTTTTTCAGGTGTTGGAGCATTTTTAGTCCTATTGAGCACTTTATTTGAAGTATTTAGCTTTCAAAGTACACAGATATTGCTCATAAAAATGTTAGGGTCATGCCCAGCAGTGTACCTGCATTACATTTTGACTTTACTGGATTTCAGCACATATTTACACTGCTTGCTTATCAGTACTCATCTAGTTAGCAGAGAATTAAAGGAAGGTTGCTAGGGCTGTGGTTTCCATGGCTGATGAGAGTCCCAGTGTAGCATTGTCAGGAATGGAAATGCTGGAATCAGTATGCTGGTATAGCTGTTTATGAGTTTCCAGATGCAGTGGGCTCTAAAGCTTCAGCTAGAATGAAGATCAACAATTTGGGACTGTGGACAAACTTGTGCGTTTTCTGGCAATAGAAAGAAAGTACCATAGAGCTGGAATATGATGGTCTGTGACTCTTGAAAGTATTGGTGAAATTTGATATCACTTAGACTTTATTTGCTCCCCTTTAAACTTCTCATAATTGGTTGAGTGAAAAGGAATTTTAGTTAAGATGGATAAAATTACATTTTTCACATAGTATGTGACAGCGTCAGTCTTTTTTCTGTCTGAACCAATTCACATGCATTTTCTCTTCACGTACACCAGTTTACTTCATTTTCAGGGCCAACGTCATACTTCTGCCTTATCATAAAGGCACAGACTGGAAATCCAAAAACACAGCCTCTTCCTGGCCAATACTTAATGACTCATTGAGTTTTTTGGGTTTGTTTCTCTGTTTTAAAAATGGAACTAGTTGGATTGTAAATCTGATTTGCAAAGCATTTAATTCTTGGAGAAGACAAAGAAACAGAACTCAATTTCCTTAGTTTTCCACTCTGTCTTACAGATAAATGAAGTAAATGCACAAATGAATCAGCTTATTGAGAAAAGAATGATGAAGTATGAGCCAATTGATAGTAAATTTTCCATGTATCGCCAACAGGTAAGAAGGAACAAAACAGTTTTTTAAGCAGAAGCAGTAGAGCAATTTCAGACACTGATTGTTTTACATACTGATTTTTTCTTTATTTAGCATAAATCAGTAGAAGTACATAATAACGGCGGACAAAAAGAAAATAAAAAGCTATTGAACATATGTATGTGTTGGGCTGAGTCAAACAATTGCTTTCAGTCACGTTAGTGAGTTTGTATAGACAACTGCCCTTAAGCGGTTAGGTGTTGCCCTTCAGCTGCATCACAGTAATTTTGGAAGGATCATTTTGGAGGAGCTATTCTGGTAAAGCTCCAGCTGTGGACAGATTCTTAAAAGGCAGCATGTGGGCTGGCTGCTGCAGTCAGACCTGGATGCAAGGCTTGCTTTCAGTTAGAGCCCTTGCTTGTGTTTGACCACATGCTATTTCTGCCGTTACATCTAGTAAAAAGATATTATTTGATTTTTTTTTTTTTTTTCATCCTGAGGCTATAAAACAGTCCTTCTATAAAATAGACTGTCTAGTCTAGTCTTAGTAAATTCACAAGTTATCAAAAGGTTTTATGTACTCTCAGATTTTCAGAGCTTATGCAGAAATGTAAGTGATTTCTTCTCCAGGCAACTTGTACTGCTGCTATTTTACTGAAGATTTTCATGATGATGCTTATGGTGATGGTTTAAAAAATAAAAAGGCTTAAGTAAAAAATATCAGTGGGAGGAAAAAAATTGTGATCAAATGTATACTGCAGTTCAATCACATACGCAATATGGAACACACCATTATGTTTTGTAAGAGATGCTCTTCTTCCCGAGAGAAAAGCTGCTACGTAATGTGCTGGTACCACAGACCAACTGGCTTGTGGTAGAGCTGTGTTCAAGGGAGGAACCTCTCCAGGAGTTCAGGTTGCTGCTGTGAGTTGAAAGCACATGGTGGTCTTTGCTTTGTTCTGCCAGGGACTGGCTTCTGTTTCTCAAAATAATCATATATATTGAACCACAATTTGTCACTGCAGATATCTCATGAAGCAGAGCTGAGATACTACCCCAGCAGAATTCTGTTAGATATATTTTTAGAAATAAACCTGATCCTTTTAACCTAGTGTGAGAAAACCAGTGTGTGTTTTGCTTCGTTTTTTCTTAAGTTTTCTCATTCATATGAAGAAACCAAGCATGCCTCCAAATTCATGGGCGTGCATCTAAATTAATATGTTGTGTTATTTTAAAATATTTTGAAATAGTATACTTTATCAAGATAAAAATGCTTTTTGTTTCCTGAACTAATGTATACTTATGTTCCCAAATCAGTTAGCTTCTGGTCAAATCTTAGGTAGTTTTAAATATTCTGTCATGTATAAAATACTGTTTTTTAAATGCTTTATCTTCTAGACTCAAAAATAATGAAATCTGTAATCGACACTATTTCTGTACTATATTGCTTTATTCATCGTCTTCTAGCTATTTGCCAGTTCTGCTGTTAGCATAACATATTTCTGTAGGTTGGAGTAGGTTGGAGTTATAAAAATCTGTATTATGACATTTGTGAAATCTTGGATAACTTTCTAGTTAAGCCATGTTGGTGTATCTTACATATGCACAAAAATGGACTAAGCAGAAGAAATGGAGCAGCTAAAATGCCTACCTTTTTCTTCAATGAAAATGAAAAAACGAGGTGAGGAAATGTAAATCTAAAATGTAAAATAAATCAACATGAATCTGGTATGCTTGAAGTCTTGGCTGTACTGAAGAAAGTTGGGAGTCTGCAATCAACTTCAATGAAGTTGTGGTTTAACCCACTGTATATAATGAGTAATCGATGCTTTTTTCTTTGCAGTGAGACATGCTCACATTTCCTAATGAAAATCTGTTTCTGACAGTTAAAATGTGGTTTCAGTGGTGCAATGCCTGAAATTTAATGGATTACATTTTACTAATGACTAAACAAGGCAATTTTTACTTTACTTGTCCATATGCATTTTTAATGATCGTGCAGGCATCTATAATTTCCCGGAAAAAGGAAGCCAAGGCAGAAGAACTGCAAGCTGCTAAGGAAGAGATGTCCAGCACTGAAAGGCAGATGCTGCAGAAGACCAGTCAGGCCCATGAGTTAGAAGGCTCTGAAGTTCTGAAAGGGGATGAGGTATGCAATGTAACTGTGACTATAAGAAAGAGGAAATTTGTAAGAAATGGACCAATATTTGTTAACTTGCAATTTCCTTTTATCTTTAGAGTAGAATAACTGCTTCTACAGTATCTTAGCCATTTTCATAGTACATTGTAAAACTACATGGCCTCAGCACTGCAACAGAGTGGCCTCTGTTTTTTTAATGCACATTTTTTGTCATCAAATTCCAAAATTAACATATTTGAAGATTTTCATTTTTTTTAATGTGCAGATAGTACAATGCTGTCTGGTGCTTTTAAATGCTTTCCAATATCTATGCTGCAGCAGGGCTTGATTTGTAGCTATTTTTAAATTATTAATTTAAATTTTTTACATTGTACCTAATAGATTGAAAGATACATGAGGACTTAATATTGGGCTGTCTTAACATTCCAGACTCTGAGTCAAAATAATGTCAATATCGTCACAATGGTATGACCAGAAATAACTAATTATAAAAGTCAACAAGACTAATGAGGGTATTAGGAATACAAGTAGTAAGTAATGTAGATTAATTTTATTGTTTATTATATAATAAAAATCTGCATTACTATCCATTCTCTATATATAATCATAAAGCATGATACCATAAAATTATCAGAAATGCAGTTAGTCCTGTTGTATTTATTACCCACAAAAGTTTTCACTTAAAAAAAAATTTCCCAGACCCTCCTGAAGTTTAGCTGCAATGCAGGCTTTGCTCAGGCAGGGTTCTATTTGAGGCTGTACTTATCAAAGCAGCTTTTTCTTCTTCAAAAGTTTGCAAAGAATAAGGCTGCTGCAGCTGGGTAGTGGTTTGTCAGCAAAATGAATTGACTTTTCTTAAGACAATAATTTTTCTCAGCTTGGAAAAAGCCTACTAAGTGTATTTACAGGCAGAACCGCTAAAGCAAGAGTATTTTAGCTGCATCATTCTTTGACTTAATATATCTTTTAATTCCCTCCACATTGTGTTAATTTGCACTGCCATGATTTATCAAGAGTAACACTTTGCTTTCTTTTTCTTTGTCTGTTTCTATGCTTTTCTTATGTACTACCCAATAGAGGGAACACCCTTTGTAGAAGGAACTCCCTTCCTGATCCCATAGGACATGCCTGCTCCACAAAAATCAGTTCTCTTTAAGAGAGTGAATCAAGTATGGAAACGTGTATGTGTACACTCATGTATAATATGGAATCCATGCATACTTCACTTGCTCCATTTTGCTTTTCTTCCTTTCTGTAAATCAAGATGAAAACTACAGGTGGAAGCAAAGGCACAGAGACATTGAAGACTTAAGATGTTGATTTCTCTTACCATAACATACCATACACATTCCGCAGGTAGCAATAATAAGATGACCACTGCATTAGATTTCTCTCCACTACAAGGTTTTCAGCCCCAGTGGGCATGTTGCTAAAGTCTTTGATGATGACTTAAGTAAAAATAAAAACAGAAAGCAGACAACTGTGTTTCATGACGTGATGGGAAAGAAGTGTTGAATTAATCAAAAAGAATGCATTACCAAGACAGCAACATATGTTTTACATTATCTGTAAATGCACTGTAAGGTCTGTAGGGTAAGAAATAATTTGTGTTGTGCCTGTTTTTTGGGGGGACAACATACTCTGATCCATAGTAATCCAAGGAGAGCAGGGTAAGAGGGAAATATGGTTACAGAATCTTGTAAAAGGCTTAATAATGAAAAATTCAAGTTAATTGTCTTGCACAGGGAAGAGGATCAAGACAGAAAAAAGACAAGACCTGTTTTGAACATAACCTGCATTTCTTTTGTTAAAATATGTTCTGCTTTTGACTTTTAAAATCTTTTTAAGTCTTCGTTTTGAGGAATGAAGAATAAATGACTGAACACTTTGGACAAAACCATCAGCTTAAAATAAGAAGTGTTTGTCTTTTCATAAGAAGCATTTCTTGTTTTGTAAAATACCTTCTGCACACTGGCCCAAGGAAGCCACTCTTGTGGAAACTGTGTCCTCTTCTGGCTTATTACTTCTTTAGGTATATTGTAGTGGTACTCATGGGCACCAGTGTAGGAAGTAAAAAGAGTGTTTCCTATGGGTAAAAACTAGGAAAGGATTTGAATTCTTGATGACTTTGATCGCTTCTTTTTCAAAGGTCGCAGATTCTTCATCTGGAAAATGGAGATAGTGATATTTAATTCTTTTGTAAATATCTGCTGCGAAAAATAATGCATAGGACTTTGGTACTATAGTCTTTGTATCTCATTAAATTACATTGCAAACACTTATTACAGAAACAGTCCTGCTTCAGAGCCTAGGTTGTGAGAAAACAGGACTGATAGATGAGACAGGTAAGTTGGGAGGGAAGAGGTGATGAAGCAAAAGTGAAGGGAACAGGTTATCTCTCATCAGTAAAAGTCTCGGTTCATCACTCACCACACAACCTTTTGCTATAGATTTGTTTCTGATGTTATGCTTTTAAATTTGTATTTTCTGGTTTAGTGCTCTGTTACTCCAGCTTTGAGCCAATACTGAAGGAAATCTTGATTAATGTAGTAGTGGTGAGTCACTGTTGTGATACGTATGTTCAGTGGGTACAGAAAGAGGTTGTACATTCAACCTTCACTTTGCACTCTCTGACAACCGAGAGCTTCCTTCTGCTTTCTTGTTGCAGTCACACACATTTTACGTTTAGTTCTTCCATTTACAAAGAAGAAAAAAAAAGAGGGTTTTTTTAACAAATAGTTTTGCTGTCTTGAGTTTAAAATGGTCTTTCAATCCTGCCACATTTAACCTATCTAAATGCTACAATTAAATCAAAGAATTATTTTTCTCCTATACTCAGTATTTCTTATATTCTCTTTGTCTCACTTTGCTGTATCCTCTTATGTCATGGCACTCACAAGACTTGGCCATCGAAGAATCAGTGCCTTCCTAGCTTGTGCTCCCATACCAGTATTTGTATCTCCAGTTGAAGTCTTCTTAGCACTTCATTCACCAAAAGGTCAATCCTGGCTTATGTTTTTAGGTGCTAGTGTTTTGCTTTCTCCTCTAACCATAAAAAGGAATGTTACAGCATTCCAGTTGGTTGAGAGGTTGTGCAGCTAGATACAACTTAGAAGAAACAGCAGGGAAGAACCAATTCATTTACATCAAGCACAAAAAGGTAGGAATAAATTGTCTGCTTCAGGGATTATGAAATCTTTTTAAATACTTCAAACAAAGTACAATGAGCATGGGGTAAAGCTGGCAGGCTCCTAGCTGCAGCTGTCAGATCCTGAAAATTAGGGAATCAAATGTTGACACTTAGAAGGCTAGATGGTTCAATTACAAGTGATCCTAGGTAAAGCTGTGATATTTTTAGCTTTTTACACAACGCATTGTACTTTGCAGAGTTCAGCATAGGCCCCCAAGAACCTGGACTTTCCCAAGGTATCAGAATAGAACAGTATCATTGCTGTGCTTAATTACAGTAGTTGAATATGTTTTTGAGAATGCAGCTTACAAAGCCCTATCAGTTTGCTAACAGATATGCGAGGTTTACATAATCATTGACAGGAGTTTTTTTCTTTTAATACAAATGCTCATCCACGCCTACCTGCCCCCTGGTAAAACAATTTTTAAAATGTTTCAATTTGCGAACTGAGAAAACAGTCAGTCTTGGACCATAGATCTTGTCAGTTTTCCTCTAAAACCGTTGGGTCCATCTGAATGCACCAGGAACAGTTACCTAGCTCCAAACTAGGTGGATGGATTTTTAAGAGAGTAGCTGTAAAGGAGCTCACAACTCGAGCATTAAATGATTTAAGCCAGGAGCCAGGCTATATTATCCTATCAATTTGCTATCTTTCCCTTAACTTTTAACTGAGGTTCTAGGTACAGTTATATTCCTGTCTGTCAAAGGCTCCTTACACATGAAAATGGGAGAGTAGCTGGTAGTCAAGTTGTGAGAGCAAAAGTGGCAGATCTGTAGGATTCCTACAGAAGACAGAAGCTTTTTGCTGTAAGAAGTTAACCAGCATTTAAGCCAAATGTATGCAGTGATTCAGATAAGTCTGAACGGAACGGAATGCTCTTTCAACACCCACTGGCATGAATAAATCATCAATTTTATTGATCTGTTAATTTTCAGTGATAACTGAAAATGGTTTTTCATTATAAATATTCTGATTGATCCAAATTATTAGTAATGGCTAATTCTTTAATACTTCTTTCCTGACCAGAAGCAAGCACTTCTAGAAGAGATATCCTACTTAATGCTAATGAAGAGTTTTCCTGATTGATCTGTCCAATGAACAGGCTGTAGAATACTTTCATTTTAATAGATTGAGGTAATACTGCTCATATCTTTTAGAAGTTTGTCCATGGATAAAGCTAGTAACTCATACAACAGTGGCTGTACTAGCTTAAATTTAGAGCCTCTTAGAAAAAAAATACTGAAAATCTGTCATGATCAGGAACTTTTCCTAACTGAATTTTAATACTTTGGACAGTTTGTATCCTGTTAATTGGTCTAGTTAGAAAATTAAAACATCTGTTCCTCAATTATTAATAAAAAAAGAGATAGCTAAGATTTTCTGCAATTATTGTGCTTATGCAAATAATTTTATTAACAAAAGTATTTGGAACCTTGTTTAGATTATGCATTTCAGAAAGAAATGTATTTTCTTTTTTATAGATACAATTAACATGTTATTTTCTGTAGTTCTTTCATATGAAGAATATTTTGATTACTATCACACAATCAAATTGATACAGTAATCCAGAAAATACTATTTTTGAAGATTTGACTCAAAAGTGAGGGATTAATCTGGGATTTGCTCTTTTCTGAAAACAAGTTTATCCGTTTTCTCCTTTAATGACGATCTTGGAATAAGAACCTTGTGAAGACTTCACATGGGGCAAATGTTAGTTTTAAGGAGATGAAATGATGGGCTTAGAGTGACAGCGTAAGACTTAAGCATTAGAGGAGCTGGGCTTTGATCCCAGTTCCGCAGTGCACTGAAGCATGTGGTCAACACGCTTATGTGCTTTCCTGGAGGGGGGTAACCTGCCAGACTCCCTGTGGTCCTGGAGAAGCCATTTTAATAGCTGTGGTTCGATTTGTCGTATTTAGAATTGTCGTAATACTTAATTACTTCACAAAAGCATGGTAAGACTTAATCTGGTGATAGCGATCTCTTTCAGACTGGAATAAGTGGAGAAGCATAAAGTACTAGCGTTGCTGGATTCTTTCAATAAAAATGGAACATAATACAGGAAATCTGCCTAGGGATGCTAGATACCTGCATGCTTCAGGACATGATGTGAGAGATGAAAGTTCTGTTTTCATTCACTCTATTTCATAATCTAGATTCCACGCTTGTTATGTTACAGTCACCCGTAAAAATAGCCAAATCAAAAGCCATAATCCTTCTTTGCTTTCATTTGGATAGTTTTTATATCTCAGGAGGCTCCGACTCAGCTAGCAAACATGAGTCTCCAGGCTTGTTTACTTTAACTGCTAACTCAGTGCCAGCATTTGGTTTTTGTCCAGTTACTTAATCTTTGAAGCTCAAATAACTATTTGTGTTAAGTTGCTTGAGAAAGAAAAGCTTACTAGCGGACATAGCCTTGAATGGTACATCACTGCGGGCACTGACAGATCCATGGGAATTCTCTCGGCCGGGCTGAGTTTCTGCACAGGGAGCAGTTGACCTGGTCTATGGGAAAATGCTGCTGCTCCGTAATGGATTCCTCTTGGTTAGTTAACTTTAAAGTGATATGGCTAGACAATGTTATTCTTTTGCGAACTATGCAAATGATTTAAAAGACCTTGTACCACAGTAAAATAACAATGTTTTAAGCATTTTAAGGGCTTGATTTTTCAACTACATGTAGATGAGAGCATGAGATATATAAAGCATCACAAGTAATGCTTACACAAATTAAAGCACTGGTATTTTACAAGAAGCTTATTTTTAAGTTTTGGAAATCTACAGAATGATTCTCAAGTTTTAGGCTGAAAAAACCTAATTTTGCCATAAGATTCCTACAAGCTGCTGGTTTAAGTGGAGTCAAATCTAATAACTCCAGCTCCAAATTTGGCCCTGGATCTAAAGAAGCCTTCAGTTAGGGAGACTTTGAGGGGCTAATCTGTGCTCCGTTTGGAGTAGATGAGGTCTTTTGAAAATTCTGCCAAGCTGGTTGATTTTCTACAGATATTATCATTTTGCTACTGTTTATATCTTGGTTTACCTTGTTTCCTGCAATAAAAGCTATGTGAAAGGTTAAGTTTGCTTTTAAAAAGCCAGAGATTGTGATAAAAGATAGACATCCATCTCCTAAAACAAATAGGTTTCACTCATCAATGTGAGCAGCTTGTGGTTCGTTTTGGATTACATTTTTATTATATAGTCCTAACTTAATCAACTAATAATAGAACATTGGTGGAATCAGTTCTTTAATCAACAAGATCCTCTGACTTCCATTGTAAAATGCATTATGCTCTGAATATGGAATATGCAAATACTCTACCTCCCACTGGAGCTATTTTCAAGACCTTAAAAGTAGCTATAGAAGTGAAGAGAATAAGTTTGCTTTTCATCCTGGGATAAACTGACAGAAAATTGTTCAGATTTGATAGCTGTATGTGTTCACATATTAAATAGTTTAATCTTTTACATAATTTTTTTTTTGCTATATTCCAATGGCCAGATGAAATATCTCAGGAACTACTTGATCAAGACAGATGACTCTGCTTCCCTTAAATTTTCCTCAGTTAGCCGGAGAGATTGTATTTATAGTTCTGTAATCTCTTGAAAATCACCGAAAACTTGGTATTTTCTAAGGAGTTGGGGAAAAAAGTATTTTGTATTAACTAAGAGGATATATTTGAATTTGCTATGAAAAAGAATGAATTCTGGTAATACTGTATTAAGTGTGCCAAGAATATAACAAAGACAGTATGGCAGTACCAGAACTGGCTCTGCTGGGCAGTGCTGTGGCTTAGGTGACCTTGGCTATCCTTGTCCTAGGTAGTACGCACAATGTAAAATGGTATTCCAAAGCCACACATAGTCCAATCTGCATAGAGCACATTGAGTAATTTGTGGGTTTGTTCTTTCACCAAAAACGTTTATAGCTTTTGGCTTTAAAAATAGTTCTGGAGCATAGCAAGAGAGAAGCAGCTTTGGCCTAGATATTGCACAGGATGGCAGATGAACAGGGTTGATTTCATTTTGGGCATTTTGCCCAGGACACTTTTTATAGAACATACAGTTACTCTGGGGGTTCTTATGCTGTGGTCACATTGGTTTTTTGGATTTATTCTTTAGAAGGGAGAGGCATAATTTTGCGAAAAAAATTAATGCACATTTCAAAATCTAAGTTCTTTTATGTTTGAGGTTTAAACTTGTATCAGTGGCAGTAGGATTCCTGTTTTCGCTTTGGGGCTGCCTGTTTTATGCTCACTCTGCACACCCTGAACCCCTCTTCATCAAAAAACGTTCTGAAGCCTGTTCTTACATCATTTGCCCTAATAAATTTTATTTGCTTTCCATCTGTGGATCTGAATGCATTTTTGAGCCGTGACTGGCATTTGCCTCGTAGCTCTCACATTAAGCATAAGAATAAGATCTAAGCCTGTTTAGACAACATCAGGGCAAAGAAAAATATTACAGGTTTGTTTCAACACCTGATATTTCAGGTGTGTTACAAATTGAACACACATGGATTCCGATGGAAATTAGCTAAGGCTGTTGATCTGTAACAATATGTTACCATCTTACTTAGTCTTTAATAAAAATATAAATTCTGTATTGCTTTACATTGAGTGAAATAGGTATTGCATTTCTCTGCTTCTATGCAAGGACTCTGCTTTTATTTTCCTGTTTTTAAACACTTAGCTAGTGATATCATTTAGATCTGCAAGAGTCAAGGAAGGAGGACAACAAAGTTCAACTATTGAGAACAAGCATTTGAAAAAAAATATAGTCTTTTCCCATGCCCTCTTCTAGTTTTTCTGCACTTTCTTATCATGTTTCTTGGTCTGCAGAGCTCTTTGGGGCTATGCACTGCTGATTTGGTGCTCTGTTACAAGTGACATTACTATTACAATAACTTTTTTTTATTATCCATGATTCTCACAACATTATGCAAAGAGTAATTACTTTTCCAACTGTCAAATGGTGGTGAGCAGAACTGAATGATCTCACTACTCAAGTGAGTGAGCTGGGACAGAAAGCAATAGAGCTGGTTTTCTTGATCTCACTCAGTGAACAAATGCAGAGCTGAAAATAAATAGACACTGGGAATCCTGAATTCCAGCCCTCTGTTCTAAACACTTAATCTTCAATATGCAGTCCAAATAGGATAATTACATTTTATATAGCAACAGTCTGTGATAAGGCCCTTTTCTGCTTTAAGTTAAATGATATTTCTATTCTCTCTCTTTCCAGTTTAAACACTATGTTAATAAGCTCCGGAGCAAGAACACATTTTATAAAAAGAAGCGACTGGAAATAGCAGAAATTACAGCTGAGTATGGTATCCTCCAGAGGACAGAAGAACTTCTAAAACAGCGCCATGAGGCTATTCAGCAGCAGTTGGTAATACACGCAATTACTGCTCCCACAGTCCATCACCCATCCTTCCCTGATAACAGCTATATAGTAAGATGGATGTTGTTTTGTTAGATTCTAATGTATATCATCCACAGCTCTTCTATCACTAGTAAAAGAGTCATTAGAGTATAAAATTTATTTTTGTCTGTTGACTAGGTTAAGCTGCTGTACTTTTATGTTCAGCAACTGTTTCTTACAGGCAGTCACGACTTTTCTGCAGTTTCTTTTTAGACTGAAGGGCTTGACCCTGCTTTTTAAAGTCAATGGTAAATCTTCACTAACTCCAGTTAGAGCAAGACTGGATTCTTAAATTAGTTTTTGGTATCCACATACACTGTAGGGGATTTGAAAATTATCAACAGCAAGAAGGATTCAAGTTACTGCTTCAAAATATATAGGAATAGTATTTAAAAACAGAGCAGGCAGGAAGGAAACATTCTAACCCCAGAATATTTGGAAGAAAATCCATTTCAGTCAGTGAAAAATTTAAAACTGGATGAATGCTTTTTCTAAGCCAGAACAGCAGAAGGATTTCTGCTCTGCATAACTGTAAGCATTCAGTGAATATATATGCATCTCAATTGAAATACTACTTCTGTAGTATTTTCTTCCAATATCAGTATTCTTGTTATCAAAATACTTTCTTTTTATTTATCTTACATCTGTTTTGTTATATGTACCTATTTTTAATTTTTAAACACAAAAGCATTTGACTTATTAAAACTGAAAATATGAAAATCCGTGGGCTAGACTTTGGAAAGATACTCATATGCAGTGGAGGATGTTGTGCTATTTCAGTAGGGTATTCATTGTTTAATTAAAAATAAATCCTGAACTGTTACCTGGTAGAAAGGAGCACCACAGCAGCAGGATCAGAGCTTTTTCTTATGATTGCTACTCAGCTAGAAGGAAGGTGAATAAACACTTATGAAGTTTATTTACAGCAGGATAACTAAGGTACACTGGTCATCTCACAGGAAAATCACAGCAGAGACAAAGCACTAGATGTTTTTCTGTGAAACTGCTACACAGGGTAAAGAGTATATTCTCATTCAAGTTTACTACCTTGTAGTAAAACTGCAGAGCTTTAACTTCATAAAGTTCTAACCACCAGATGACTAGTGCACACATTTTCCTCATAGAATCAAATACACTTTTTTCTAGCCCTGAGCATAACGCCCTGCCAAACTGCACACTGCTGTTGAAGTCTACAAGATGCTCCCATCAAGGTAGCAGTAGCTATTAGTAGAGACAAACCTTTTCTTAAACATATGGTTGTAAAAGAGTTTTGAGGATAATGGACTTGGCGTTCATAAATATATGGCACTTTTAAGAAGGAATGTTTTGCTTTTTAACAAATTGTGGATGCGTAAATCAACACTTAGCTTTCAGATTTCAGCAAATACCCTCCTTACGTGCTTAGTGAGCAAGCATTGATAAAGACTATTACATCAACGTTTAATTAAGTGTAAAGTTTATGTAATGTAATGCTAGAATTTGGTAAGATGGTATTAGTATTACTATAATGAATACAATACTTAGTTTTACTTGACATTTGTTTAAAAAATAATTAGCTACATCTTCAGATTAAACATCTGGATCTTACACACTGAACTTCTTCAGAGCCTGACCTAAAGCCCAGTCTGCTTTGTGGAAACTTTCTGTTAATTTAATTAGGTATTGAATGTGTTTACACTGTATTTACAGAAAGTTGTTATTATCCTACTGTACAGGCACTAGATAAAAAGTTACATGTATTTTTCTGGCAGCTAGATTATTAATGACTTTTAAAAGAAACTTATTACCTTTTCCACTTTCTTACAATATTTAGTCTCTGTGAAGGAATTTGCTATGTTACTTGATTAATGGACTCACATTTGGCATTTAATTTTTTGTGTCTGCAGCAAGCTATTGAAGACAAGAAAGGTATTTCTGGATTTAGTTACACCCAGGAGGAGCTGGAAAGAGTATCTGCAGTAAAGAGTGAAATGGATGAAATGAAAGGCCGGACACTAGATAACATGTCTGAAATGGTGATTTTGGTCTCAAACTGTTGTATGTCCTCAGTTTGAATATCTGCTTCTTCAGCACATAAACCCAAGTTTAATGTTTTTGTTTGTTTTTTTAATTTTCTCTTAATCTACGTTTATATATTTAAAAGATTTTCAAGGAGTGTACATCTGCAAAGGTAATCTTGAAAAAGTTTACTAAAATGTGCATTTCTTTTCATCTAAGAAGATGACATTTAGAATTATAAAAAAGATAAATCCTACAAATAACTCCTACTTTCCTCCCCTTCAGAAATATTAGGGATATCAAGTTTTGTTGCTTTTTACTTTTTTGTGATTTCAGAAGTGGTTTCATGTTTGTTCTTGCACATTATTTGAAAGAGACAAATGGTTTGACTCGTTAACAGAGTATTTTTCTAAAATGCTTGTAAATCACTGGAGTTAGGCATTTGTTAAAAAAATACTTAATATGCCTAAACAGCTAAGTATCTTGTCTTTTCCTCTAAAGTCTAATTTTCAATTGCCCTTACATCTGCCATGTTTTAATTTAACTTCCCATATAGCCATAGAAGCAAGACTGAACTTGAATTTCTAATTTGAAAATATTATAAAGGAGCAAAAAGCAAAATAGCATTCTTTGAAATCATTAAGGCACTTTTAAAATGAAGTGCCATAATTAAAGCAGAATGACTCTTAAATAGAAAGCTGGATCAAATTTGAATTTTCAGTATAAATATTGTAAAGTCACTCTGTTTTAGCATTTTCATACTTTATTTAACCTATGCAGGTTTTTTTGTTGTTTGTTTTCTTAAGGATTTCTTTCTTTCTCTGTCCACCTCTATGCAACTCCTTCATTTTCCCCTGCTCCTTAATCTCTTTGGGTGCCTGGCACATAGGGTCCCTTCCGGACTTCTCTGTGATGTTCTTGGTTGAAACAATGGGAGCAGAATTTGTCTCATTTGTGGTAATGACCCCACTGCAAGATGGGCTCTTTCCCTTTGTTAATTAGGCCTAAACTTATATATAGTTGAAGCTTCATTGCCCTTTTTTTCCCTCCATATTTTGGTTGACTTCTCTTTCTTTTCACAGTCCTAATTAAATAAATGTGTGATTAGTATCCTAGTGTTAATGTATATCATTTTGTCCCTGTATCAGGTAAAAAAACTGAATGCTATGGTGGCAGAGAAGAAGGCAAGCTTAGCTCCCGTTATCAAAGAACTGAGACAGCTGCGTCAAAAGTGCCAGGTTAGTAGGAACACTTCTCATTTTATGTAACTAAAGTCTGAATCACAAGTAAGTCTAATTTACTGGTCTCTGTAGCACTGTACAAGGACATAATCAACTCTGAAGGAAAGCTGGAAATAGCAGGATGGGTCAACAGCGATTTGCAACAGCCAACTCGTTAAAGCCTGGGATTCATAAAAGCTGACAGTGCAGGCACAAAGTCAGGCTGGAAAGTTTGTCCTTTATAGCAATTTAAAAAAATTACTACTCCAGGGGAAAATTTTAAAAAATCATGGTTCAAAACCATAGCAAAGTTAGTTTTCAAATAATTTTCAAAGCTTTTTCTGGACTTCAGCACTAAAGTTCTCAACTAATGCTCTCCTTTTTAAATGAATTGTAAATAACATCTCACCAAATGGTTGAATACATTGATCTAAATCCTATATTGGTCTGTAGGAATGACAGATTTATCCATTTGTTTTCAAAATTTTAGAGAGCTGAAAAAAAAGAAGTCATTCAGCTGCTGTAAGTTGGCTCCTTGCCATAGAAGTAAATGGAGCTATCCATTTATCTATCAACTAAATTTCCAGAAAACTTACTTCTAATGGTTTTATTAAAAGTGTCAACGACTGAAATCCAGCTAAAGCATTTGTTGTCTATTACTAGAAAGCTGGCTTTTCATAGGTAGCAAGTATATTAATCCTTCCTTAATCTCTTTTATAATTATTTTTCTTTTCTTCTTGCAAATGCTGCCCTATTAACCTACCACATTAAAGCAATGGATGTGGCTGTGAAGAGGAAATTTGTGTGCTATGTTGTGGTGTATACAGCTGATCTGCCAGTATGCGAGTGGAGGCTAGTGGCTTCCCTGGGTGTAATAATACCCGTGTGCCTGCTCGGTTTATGTAAGTGTCTGTGAGTGTGCCAATAGCTGAGGTGGATGTGTGAGACCGACAAGAACACAGTCTGTCTGAATGTCACGTGTCACTCAATTGAAGTTTTCATTTATGTACCCTTTTGCCCTTTTCACATAAGGAATTAACTCAAGAATGTGATGAAAAAAAAATCCAGTATGACAGTTGTGCAGCGGGGTTAGAGAGCAATCGCTCTACACTGGAACAGGTAAGATGGTGGCTTGTTTATGCATATTAATAAATGATCTGCAACAGGTTATTCACTATGGTGCAGTATTTTCCCTGCCTTCCCTCCGGATATGGAAAGCACAAATCCACTTCAGGTGGAAATGAGTCAGTGGTGACCCACAGCTATGCAAATCATGCCTGAAGCTGCTCTGGACCAGCTACAGTCGCTCACATCTCCTGCTCTGAATATCAGCAAATGAACACAGTAGTACATTGGTCCATCCACTGCCGTGCAGCTTTGATTAGCGAGGATATTGTAAAAGAAGATGCATCTGCCAGAAATCCTGCTGACCTAAATAGCATCTGTTAGGGAAGAATCTGACCATAAAATAAGGATTAATTTATCAAGACAAATCTTTATATGCATTTAGCGGATTCATTAAATTACCAGCCAATTCAATGGATAATTAATGCACTAAAATTGATGGCAAGGATACTTTATTAAATGTGACTGTCTTGTATTCTGGCATACAACAGTTTTTTAAAAATTCAACCTTATAGGTATAGCAAGGAGCTTGTGTGCATGTAGTATATGCCTGCCTTGAACTGTAGCGCTTTTGGGAAGGGAGGCGCTTAAACCAGCGCAGTCCTTTCAGGTGGGAACAGTGTTAATGTGTTTATATGAATCTGCTTTATCTCACTAGATCACCTCCTGTCAATTTGTCTGGACTTGATTTTTCAAGGCCTTGCCCACATAAGGAATATATTTCAAAATAAAAAAGGCGGACATTTAAAGTGTGGGTGGATATATAGGTAATTATTTTCCTGTACTAAAAGTACCTTTGTATAGCTTAATCCAAGCAAAATAAAAGAATCCACAGATGAACCTACTACAAATTAGACCTCCCATGAAAACTATTTTACAATATCAATCAAGGGGTTTTTTTCTTGGCAAACAAATCTTAGTAATTTTCTAACATATGATGACAATCACATCCACTGATTAAGCTGGACATGAGTGTCAGCAAACTCGTGCAGTTGAACGGTAGAATTCAGTTTTCCAGAGGATGGTCTGAAAATCACATGGTAACAGAGTTTTGGATTTGACAACTGCCGTGCGACCTGGAGTACATGAATTCCATTTGGATTATTGGGCTTTTTTGGCATGGACCATTTAGAGATAGGACTAACTTACTATCTCCATACTTCTCAATGTAATTGATTGCTAATTAACATACTATTAACATGCCTGTAGCTTCTAATTTACATTTTGCAGATGTGTTCCAGGAAATGCTTATTCATAACTGTATTTAGCCCTTAAGATGTGCTTAGGAACAAGAGTCTTGGCAACACTTGTGGAGTGTCTGTTAGAAGGCAGTCATATTAATAAACACCTGTTAACAACTGTTTAGCATCTCTGTGACTGAAACTGCAAATCTAAAAAAAGCCATTGTCTTTCACTTTAAAAGAGTCTTCTGTAAAGCCTAAGTTATGTAAACTTTTAAGAAATTTTCAATTCGGTATTTTGCCTGTTTCTATTACAGACTCTCATGGTTTATATAGCAACACAGGGCATCTCCTGTGGACTTTCGGTTATCATGTCCTTTGAAATCTTATTCTTGTACTACAGGAAGTGAAAGGACTTCTTGAGGAGTGTGTTCAGGAAGAAAGCAACTACCGTTACATTAACTGCATGATAAGGGTAAGATCACAAGATGGACCAAATTGTTCATTGTGAAATGAAACAGCAATTATAATATATATATTTTTTTTTTTTTTTTTTAAATTATGCATTTCTTTATAGAATCTAGAAATACAGCTGCAGCGTGCTAAAGAAGAAATGAAGGCATACATCTCCCCAGACCCACAGGAGAGACGAAAGGCAATTCGGTAAGTGTATGAATGTATTTCCTTTGTGTTAGCTTGAAGGATATTCTTAAACTAAGGCCAAAGTCAGGAATTTTCTCACTGGCATTTGAACTGGAGGAGTTCACCTGATAAATTTAGAAACACTATAATAATCTAAAAATAAGCATCTCAAATTCCAGTATATACTGCTGTAAACCTATGAGTTCTCTCAGACATACCAGAAGATTTTCCCTTCCTGCTGGAGATTATAGGCCCCAGATAGCAGTTTTAACTTGCAGCCCCTGTTGGCACAAGCTCAGAGAAGCTGTGCTTCGGCTGGGTCCCGCAGGAAGTGAGGCTCTACCAGACATAATGCCCCTGCCAAGTTTCTCCCTGAAACAAGTTCTAGTTCTTCTACTCCAGCATGCAGGAGTAGAAGTCTGCCACCTCTCAGAGAGCAGCCATATGCTGCCCTCAGAATCTGGCCATTTCTTGAAAATCTTCTACTCTTCTTTCATTATAGTAGCTACTGCCATCACTGGTACAGGAGTGGAGGACTGCGTATACTCGGCATAAATGGATTTTGTAGTTCTTACTGGAGGTAGAATGAATACTGTTCTGCACCTTCACACTAACCGTCATCTTTAAACTCATTTTTATTTACTCCAATTATAAAACCAGTTCCTTCATCCTGTGTATGTTTTTTCAGGACCTCTTGCCTTTGCCTGGTAGGGAGAGAAGCAGAAAAGGTTACAAATTGAGCTGATAAATTTTTCTGTGCAGTTTTCTATTTTAAATGATGCGGTCCTGCCACAGATTGAATTGTTTCTTGAGAATGAGATATTTTGGATTAAGTATCTGTGCTAAGAAGTCTAAATGTTACCATGTCATACAGATTTTTTACACTCTACTGCATCCTAAATATTTTTGTAAAACTATCCTGTTTGAAATTTTGTGTATGTTCAATCTTTTAATATAATGTAAAAGTTGAAACAAAATTCAGACAATAAAGTCAACAAGCTAGTTCAGCCCCATCAAAATTAAACATCGGGAAAATCCCAACCAAAACATTTATGACTTTCATTTGGTAAAAGTGTCAAAATACCTGGTTTTATTCTTCATACTTAGTTTTTTCAAAATTTCAGAATTTTGCATGAAATAGAAATGCTGTTTCCCAGCTAGTTTTATCCTTGACAAAAAAAAAAAAAAATTCTTAGATGCTAACTGTCAGCAAAATAAACAAGCTTAAATTGTTATCACTGGTTTTACAAGGTGGTCTTTTGGCATTCGCACCACAGTATTTCTCAGTCACGAAGATAAAGACAGAGGTTTTAGAATTCATGTTTGCTTGGATTGATCAGGGGTCTTTTTGGTTTATTTTTTAATGAATGGAATGAGTGAAAAACACTCTGAGAGGAGGATTGGGTCTCCTTAAAGGTGTAGTCATTATTGTACCAAGGTGTCTCCAGAGTATATCATTTTTAGTTCAGTGCAGAAGGGGTATCAGCTCTGCCTTGTATGTCTCCATCTCACCCGCTGCATCAATCAGCATTCCCACAGTTTGCTTTATTGCTTAGGCTTTAAACAGCCACAGCAATATAGTTCCTTCATGTGAGGCCTCTTCTTAGACTTCTGCATTTGTATTTCAGCAACGGGACAGATTGTTACTTGAAATCTGTGTAATCTGTCATGTCAGAGCTGTGGTTTGTGTACAGTCTTCTCTACAGTGTGCCAAAACGCTTCACAAAATTGTCCCATTCACAAAACAACTTAAAAACATGAATGAGTGGCAAAGCAAAGATAGAACTGCTTAATTAGACAACTAATAATCATTCTACATTCCATTTGAAAGCTTCAGATCATCCAGCATGCTGCCATCATAACAGCAAAAGAGAAACAGTAATTGTCTGTCACTTCTCAAAGAAGATGGGAGAATAAATTAATTTCCTAAAATGTCTGTCCTCTTAGGACTTTTTACCTCTCAGAATAATTTCTGGACCTTTCTATTGCAGTGATGGCAACGAGGGAAGCACAGGTAGTTGGTAGTGTACATAATCAAATGTCATTCAGTATCACCAGAGGCAATTTCTTCACTCATTGTGGAGTGAGAAAAGGCAGTAGTTGACCACTAAGATGTTATGGGCTCTGGAATGGGGCTATTGGCAGGGAAAGCGATGTGTCAAACTGAGCGAGAGAACTCCAGGGATCCCGGATCCCCTCAGGAGACACTGAGATGGGGTCATCTTCCTCCATCAGATCCTCATGAACTAGAAGTTGTCCTGATGCACCTTGCACTGGTACCTGTGGAGCTGCATCTGCTGCTCTAGAACACGAGGCAAAGATCACTAGGAAACAATGGGTGAGATTAATATCCATCACAGAGACCTTCTGCGAGGATCTGAGACATGAAAATGTTTTTACACTATGTAGTAAACAATTTAGGAAAATAAGAGTAAGGAAGGAATCAAAGCTACTAATGTTAGAGTGGGAGAAGGAAAAGACGAGGAGGTAAAATGTGAATGGAGGCTAAGAAGCCTCTTATTCCATTTTACAAAATAACATAAGGCTATAGGAAATAAAAGATTAATCCACTGGAAGATGATGAAACAGCAAAATTAAGCAGAAGGATGAAAAGAGAAGTGGCTGTGAGAAAAATGTTAGTGATGATGTGAAAATTCATTAGCATGAAAAGCACCACAGCTCAGCCAAGCAGCTGAGAGGAAATGCAGGTCAGACAGCAGGCACTGTCCTTTTATGGCCTCGCGGGGAAGGGGAGGGACTGAGTTTATTCCCAGATGCTAAGCAAAAAAATGCTCCAACTGAAATACTGGTGAAACGAACATCCACAATGTGAGTATTCACACAGACAAGCCATCAAAGCCAAATGCTGGAATTAAGCATGAGTCCAGCTATGTAATTCCAGGTATGGTGAGGAGAATGTGAACGGAGCATTACCACTCTCTCTGCTGTTCCTGTCTCCCTTGCTGGCTGTGGGCACAGAAGCTAGGGAATTTATCCTCTCACAGTGACTATACACATTTTTGACCTTCTGTAAGAGGTCGCACACCCGTCACGTTTAAATGAATTACAATGAAGTTCAATATAGACATCTTTGCAAAATGTAAAATAAGACAATAAAATTTTTTTCTAGACATCCTTTTAGAATGTGAATGTATTTTTCAGCAGGCACTGGAATGTAAACGGAGTAAAAATGAACCATAAATAGAACAGCACTTTTCTAACAACGTATTGAACAAAAAATGTCTTAATTCCATCCCTCTTTATTGAATATAAACTCTCTGTTCCGTGGAGTCACTTCTTAGGAATCTGAAAAGTTAATTTTTTTCTCTAAAAATAGTAAGTTGTGGGTTCTTAAATGAAGTTACTAAGTTGCGTTCTTTCCAGTCATCATTATAAATAGTAAAGAAAAACTTACTAGGAAAGACATCTAATCTTCTGATGATTACTTTGAAAAGTCTACTTAAAGAAAAAAAGTAAGTTCTCAAGGCCAAATGTGTGCAAACACATGCTGTGTGCCAGTGGAAATAAGAAGATTCAGTGTGGCTTTCCATCTCTTTGATTTGGTGAGGGTTGCTAGGGATCAGCTCTGCGGCAAGGCACTTAGAGCAGCCTCAATTTCTCTATGCAATGTTCTTCTACCCTGGGCAACTGGGAAAATTCTTTAGATGAGCCAGTTTATTTTGTATTCAGATAGTAAACTCTCAACCCCTATGTGTATGTGTTACACATGGAATCTGAATTTTTTTTTTTTTAAGTGAATCAGTGAAGATTTTTTTTATCGTCACATTTCCAGAAAAATTAAAATAAATACATAGCAATGCATCTGCATCGTGCTGTTATGCTTTGCATATTATATTGTCAGGTTTCATGTATCAAGTTTGCATATGTCAGAAAGTGATCCAGCCACTTGTTACAGACAAAGGTGTACAGCCAAGATTTTTAATAATGAATGTCAACAGTTATGCTTCTAAGCCTATATTTAGGCACCTAAATGTGATGGCTGTTTTCTGAAGGTGAGGAATGCACAGCAGTTCCATTGCAGTCATTGGATTCCTCAAACCTGGGGTGAAATGCTATTCCCCTTTGTGCCTGTATTTTCCCACTCGTTCTAACACTACATTCAGAGCAATGAAGGGCTGTGGATTTGTAAACTCTGGCACTTGTACAAATGAGGCCACTGTGGCTAACCTCAGAATATCACCAGGATAAATGCGTTATTAAAACGGGATCAGGGATATCTTACCTAAATGATCTTGCTGTTGTCTTCAAGCTGGAAGGAGCATTCATCATGCCTGCTTCAAAAACGTAAGAGCTCTTATCCAATATCACTTTTCCCAACTGCACAACTGAGAGAATCAGAGAGATCTGATCTCTGATGTCAAGGGCTATGTTGTTCATGCTTCCTCTTCTGTCTCATTTGTGAACCTCCCAATCCTTTCATAATGTTCTCTGCTTGTATCTTTGTTCTGTCCTATTACATAGAACCAAATAAAATAATAATAAAGATATTTTATATTTCCTTCAGAGAACAGTATACACGAATGATCCTTGAGCAAGAAAACCTTGGGAAGGTAAGAATGAGGTTTTTTCCTTGTAAAAAAATGGTATATTTCAGATTTTTGTGGGGCTTTTTACTAAAGACTGTGGTCAGCCTTTTATAAAAAGCATATTGCAGCCTACAAAGAAAATTCCATTACTGCTGGCATTGGTAACTAATACCCTGAAAAGAGATCATGCTCGTTCTTCGGGGCTTGATTTCCTGCAGAGGATAGCATGAGCTGCTTGTAAAAGATAGTCAAACAGCTTAACGTGACAGCACATTCCCTGAAAACCATTTGGATAAGAACTGAAACATGGGTATAACAAACTGTGCCAGCTCAAATTTTTTGTTGTATATAAAGCAACATGTTGAAGACAATAAATTTTGAGCCTGTCAGCCTTATCACTGTTATTAAAGGCCAGGGGATCATCAGCGCCACAGCGTTAAACAAAAGCAGTTGTCTGTTTTTAATCTTGTCTGAAGCTCAGATCAGCAGGGATGAGGTTAGGCTTACCAATTCACACTAAACATCTTTCTTTTATTAGTTTCCTTTTTATGACACTGTGAGTGATTTTTACAGGTTCAGGCTGCCACTATTAATAATTGGTAGCACGTTTAATTGTAAAACATTAATTTCCTGTTTATAATATCATGATCTGAATCAATTGCAGGTTGTAGATTGATACTACAAGAGCGCTGTATGGAAATGAGCTCATATTTTACCATAACTTCTCAAATAGATAAGACTATTATTTAGACAGTTTAAAAACATTGAAATAATTGTCAGTCCATGCAAAGCAGATGTCTGAGTCCCAGGTGTTAACACATTTATCATTTGCAAGGAGTGTTATCAACTTGAACAAAATAATATTTCAGTAGCATATACAAATCAAGCTGCTTATGTAAGGAATTTTTGTGGCGTAGAACTGTCCCAGAAATCTAATATTTTTGTATTTTTGACAGAAATTACGAGAGAAGCAGAAGGTTGTGCGGGAAAGTCATGGGCCAAATATGAAGCAAATTAAAATGTGGCAGGATTTTCAGCAGTTAATGGAATGTAAGAGAGAATGTTTTCTGAAACAACAAAATCAAACAGCGATTGGTCAAGTCATTCAGGAAGGGGGTAAAGATAGGCTTGTGTTATGAATTCTTCCTCCTTGATACTGACATAAAGTAGGAAGACTGTGTTGGCATCTTAAAGGTAACCTCTTACTATGTATTGTTGCTTTCATCACTTCTACATAAATTTGTTGTACACTATTTTGTTTTGGTGGATAAACAAAAAGCACAACTAACAATGCTACGAAGCTTTTTCTCCGTTGTTTAAGTGACAACATAACATGGCTAGGAAGATCTGTTATGAGAGCTGCACTAGCGTGAACCTCATCGTAAATCTTTGGTTTATTAGGCTGGGAATGGCATGCATCTGCAGAGAGATCAAAGGAAAAGAAGTCCTTCTCCAGGGTCACAGAAAATTTACATAATTGCTCTGCTCCTTATTCTGTATCACTAAGGTTACATTTTTGCAAGGCCTGGGACTTGATATTGTATAATCGTGGGCCTCCTGGCTTGGCTCTCTCCTTCCCTATTGTCTTTATTCATCCAGTGTGACTGACAAGAATGGAGCCATTTTCGCTCTGAGCTGCACAGACCTTGCCTGCATGCTCCTAGTCATACTTTCCTTGCACGGTTGAATTAAACTGATTGTGCTTCCAGGAGACAGTTCATCACTACAGCGTCAGGAGTACGAGATCTGAGAACAATTATTTGGATTCTGAGCTTTTTCCATTATCTTTTGTTGTTGTTTTTAACAAATGTATTTTTCTTGCACATATTCCTTCTTCTAATTTTTCTGAGTTGCCCATGTGAAAGTGTTGACTAAAGGCTTTCTCCATTGAGGACATTTTGTGCTGTTTTGTCTGTGCAGCATGGTTCCAAAGTGATTACACTGTCCAGAGGCTCATCCCAGGGATGGAGGGTTACTGATGGATGTAAATATGGCACAGTGGCTCTTGCATATGTTCAGGTATGCAAAACAGGTAGTTAAGCAAGGCTGCATGTATGGGGGCTTTGACCCAGGAGCTACAGGCAACTGTCACTGCCCTTAGAATTGCACCATGAGACCCACAGCTGACCCAGGGTATGAGGAATGTAGGTGAGGCTTGAAACTGTCCCTCACGCTTCGTTTCAGATGAGCGCCTCTTAGCCACAATCAAAGATCAGAAGCAGAGAGATAAGTCTGTGGGACCAGGACGCTTGTTATTCTACTTTAGTCTCTTGGCTTATTGAATTTCTAGATAGGGTTGGGGTGGGTTTTATAGTTTTGTTTGTTTGTTTTTTTTTTTTTTTTAGTTTTTCCTGCCTGAAGTAGAATGTCATTTCAGGACAAAAACATTATTTAGCTTTCGCTGGTACCTAACTATAAGTTCATCTGTTTTCTATACTGAGAGAGTATATGGTAATTATATATTTCCTAGTTTGCCTTTGCATTGACTATATTTGTTAAAAGAACTAAACTAAAATCTGATGACTACCTTTTGGCTGTATGGCATTCTTTTTTTTACATTTCTTAGGTGAAAGAAGGTAAATTGTTAGTGACAAGTAGCTTGCTGGGCCACAGGAAAAAGAGGTTTGAATGGGTCATTTAATTAAATTTATTATAGGTGCCCCCAAAGGGTTCAAAACCACAGTGTATGTATAAGGTGTGGGTCTCAGATCTACAGGTTCCCAGGACATCCTCATGTAAGCCTTCCCACGCTGCCAAATAGCTGGGGATAATCTTTCTCAACAGCTGCACGCTAATCTTTCCCAGGACAAGGAGAAGCAGCACGTTTTCCCCTGTGTGCATTTACAGTGGAAAAAAAAGGTAGAGGTGGCTGGGGTGGGGAGAATGGGCAGCAGTGCCACCACTCCCTGCCTCCATGAGGTGAGTACGGGCCCTAGGGAGGCACTGGAGGCGGCTGTATCGGTCGGGAAGGGAGAAGCTCTGGGAAGGGACATATGCGGACTGTATAGTGTGCGCAGAGCCATCTCCAGAGACACCTGTACATTTTGGCCCTGCTGCCCTGTGCCTTTATTACCATACTTCACCTGCATTGCACTGCAGGGCCTGCTGAGCTGAAGAAAGTTATTGTAGTCACAGGCCTGGACTTCTAAAGGAGGGTTTTGCTGAATACTTGCCAGCAATAGTAGAATAACACAGACAACTACATATGAGATATGCTGAAAACATGGGATGATCACCAAAAATGGGCATTTAGGTTACTTAGGAATCAGCGTATGGTTCAGAGTCACCAGACGGGGCAGGGAGAAGGGGGGTTTGATATACTTCAAGTCAAAACTTTTAACAAAACCCTAGAAACCCTATTTGACTAGAGCATTTATATAAAGATGTATTACATGGCTTAGCCTGCTGCCCAGAAAAAAAGCAATGCTTTTGAAATTCATAGCAATGATGTAAAGTAAGATTGAGTATAATAATTTTCTGGTTTTCTGTTCAGTCACCCTAAAAATAGTTCATTTTTCTTCCTTGTAAAAACAGTTTATTGCTGGTTACTCAAAGATGACGTGATTGTTGTTCTGATCTGATTAGTGTTCTGTCATTTGTACTGCACCAAGAAAGGGCACACAGATTATACACTACAGCAGCAGCAAAATGACTTTCTGAGATGAAGCAGAAAATCATAATAACCGTTATGAAAAGAAAATTTGAAAAACTTAAATGCTATTTTTAGCTTCTTATATAAGTGGACATTTAATAACTGCAACTCTAATAGATTCTGTTCACTGGCTTTTCCACCTAGTTTATGATTTGATGGGAGCATTCAAAAATCTTTGAATTTCACAGTTGTATCTTTACTTCCTCACTTGAAACAAAAAACTTGTTTCTATTTTTTTTACTTTGTTACTATTAATAGCCTAGCTGGTTAGCTAATAGCATTAAACATACCACCTGGAGGAATACCTGCCTTTCCCTTGTGAAGATCCAAATAAATAAAAAATGTGCATAGCTAAATCTGGGGCTCCAGCACTTCCCAAATTTCTTCCACTTGGAACACTGATCTGAGCAGTCACTCGTTAGCAGCAGCTTACTTTGCTTCAAAAGGCTTCTCCTTATCTTTACCCAGAACTGGATGAGGAGGTATTCCAGCTATAGGATTCTGCAGCTTTGCATTTATTTAGTCATGTTGAGATGAGATAATTGCAGGCATCAGAAATAGATAGGAGGAAACAGTACATCTACCAAAGTATATGACCAGCCATTGTACCATCTGGATATCAGATTATTTTGATATTACTGGTACCGTTTTGCTTCCATTTGAACTATAATAAATAAAATAAATGTTTTTAGAGTTCCTTAAGTAACTCAAATCTAGGATTCCTTATTTGTATATCTTTACTCACATGGATAGTACTACTAATGTCACATGCATATAGGTATCCGCAATCATAAAAGTTAGACCCTGCTGTTGTATTTATTATGTTCACATATACTGATTTCCAGAGTTTTCTTGGTAAGACTTTCCTACAGTATGATGTTGCTTACTGTTACAAAACACAACACAGCAGAAGTGTTGAGCAACAGTTCAGTGCCTAGAAGATGCCCTCGAGTGGAGGATGTTCCCATTAATGAGCAGGGATAGTATAGTACCCAATAAGTGGTACAAAATCTGCTCTCGAGTGACTTGCTGGTTCAGGAACTGGAAACAAAGCAGAGTTGCTTCTTCGATCACTATTCACGTCTGGCCTAGATGAACCGTGACGGGAAGCTCACTGTTAACTACCTGGTGGCGTCCTCAGCAAGAGATCTGTGCAGGGTGATCTGGCAGTATCAGTCTAATTCCTAAATCACCGCCCCGGCAGTGCTTGGTGAGCCCGGAGCCAGCTTCCACATGAAGGCAGACAGATGTATGAGTGTAAGACCACAGAGGCCGAAGTGCTGTCACCCGAAAGGTGTCCCCTCGGGAGAAGGGTCATGACACATTGACACAGTGGGGTGTGGGAAGCCGTTACTCTGTCATCTTGTCTGTGGATGAGGAGAGCACTGATGCTCGCAGCTCTGGTTTCTTTCATTGGCCCTGTATTTGCTCAGACTGAAGTGAAAAAAATAAAGAACTGCATCTGAACGTGTGCCCTGGGTTATCATTTGTAGCAGTGAGTTTCCTGCTGAAGGAACGCTGTTAACTCTTCCGCTGCCTTTCTCTATTGCAATTTGTAATGGAAACAGAATTGAAATTTTCGTGGACGTGCCAGTGTTCCAGTGAGGAAGTATTACACGAATCAACAATTTTATCACAAGGTACCACCTGTCTGGGCAACACCCAGTTGGTTAGTTGTTTTTTAACAATCAGAATTTGACCTATTTCCAGCTTGTTTAAAGAGTTCCTTAAATTCTCAGCATGAATTTAAAATGGATTGTCCAAATTCTCAGTGTCTCGGTTTCTGTTGTGTTAGATCTACAGTAGCAGCCTCCAAACTCCCAAGGCACTCTGTTTTCTTCCAAGGTCATTGGGTGAAAAGGGTATTTTTCACAATTGCGTTACACTGATTTTCATGATTCCAGTTTACAGACAAAAAACAGCTGTAAGACACTGCGCCGTGGTGAGGTCAAATGCGGTGAGGAGCTGGGGTGTTTGAGGGGGGAGCAAGCATATTCCAAATAATCAGCAGGAACTGTGAGACAAATCATGCCGTCCTTACTTTCACAAACCCTCACTGACTTCAGTGGGAGTTTTGCCAAAATAAGGTCTGCTGGATTTAGCTCTGTATTCTTCCTCCTGACAGAACAAGCAGGAATTAAAGGGCCAGCATTAGATTTATAAGACTCAGAGAATAAAAAAGAACTGTGATTACCTAAAATAACGACTATTATCCAATGCAAATCAATGTTGCATTAGACACATTCTAATTTATAACAGAAATTAAATGTTTGTTCAAGTTTTTCTCAATGCAAACAAGCAAAATACACAGGTCCTTAGCAATATGATTTGATTTTCATTATATATCTATGAGAGGCTGTCTTGCACAAATCTAGCTGAAGTATTCATGGTGTTTTTCATTAAAATACAACTTTATGCATTACCTTGTATTTAAAGGCATTATTCATCTTTGTTATTTTAACAGTAGTATATTTTTACCTTTTTTTGCATTTCCATTCCTCATACTTTTGAAAAAAGCATGTTTTTGCAGATTAGGATACACACAACCAGCATTTGCTGAATGCCAAGAACTACAGTTCTGCAAATGGATCGCCTCAAGCCATGTCTATTATACTGTTTCAGTTCAGACTGTCATTACAGAATAGCATGTCATTTTTAAGCGTCTAAATTTTATTGCAACTACTCAAGTTTTAAAAACGCTCATTTATACAATAAGCAGTTATTTAAGTCTACTTTTGAAAGAAGATAAAGCCAAATCCTGCACATTTTGCCAGAAAAAATTGCAGTTGATAGGAGTATGGAAAATGGGATCTTATGAGTTTTCCAAAATAAATTCCTTTCTCTCTCCCTACTTCTTTTCCCTGGAATGGAATAGAAAATATGCCTGGCACTTAGGGAGCAACAACAACAAAACCAGAAAGGCATACATCACATACAAGTAATAACCACGTAAGGGAAATAATGAAGGAATTAATCTCACAATTTCTTCTTTATAAATTTTACAACTGGTTCATACTGAAGAAAACCACAAAATTGTTGATTAAGATTTTCTGCATTTGTGGGGTTTTAATGCTTTTTTTTTTTTTTACTGGATTACTGTTTTTTAATAGCAGTTGAAATTCTAGGGTTATAAAATATGAAGAATTCAGTAGTTTACTTGGTTTGCACAATTGCAGCATTTTCTGGCAGGTAAACTAATGTTTAAGCATTTCTTCACCGTTATCACAGAAGTCTCAGAGCCATTAGTGAAGAATTACCAAAAGCAAAAAGGCATGATTAATTTGAGATTCTAAAAATTGAAAATCTAAAACTTAAAAATCACATGAAAATTATGCATTTGCTTATCAACTGCTTTTTAAATGATGTATTGCTCCAAGACTGCATTTTGTGGACTGCAGCATTCAAAAACTTTAATTGTTTTAAGTATTTATAAAACATTGTACCCATTTCCATTAGTCTGTGCTTTAAAGCTTCCCATGTTTTTATAGCATATTAAAAAGAAAACAGAACTCTATCAGAACATTGAAAGTCACCCACAGACAACCTGTTCCACTAATATTTACATTCCCGTTGCATCTTTTGTTCTAAAGGATTTCTCTTTTTCATTTTCATTTCACATAGGCTGATTTGACTGCTCAGGTATCTGCATGAGTGAGCCATGAAACTGAGAGATTTAGCTAATGTTCAGAGGACAGTAATGAAAACTGGGTATTTATTATTTCACAGGCAATGACATCATCCCAAAACTAAGTCTCCTTGGGAAAGTGTCTCCCACAGCTAATAACTAGAAAGCAATCTGAATTCTTCTAACAGGTGAAGTGTGGCATACTTCATATTGGGTTGTTACTGTTGTGCTTGCTACTCCTTTTATTTTATTTACTACACTGTACTTCAACCATGTGAAATGTGAAATGCATCACTGTAAAATCTATACACACTGGAGGTTCTTTTCTGCTTGTTGATTTAATTGAATGAAGTGAAGGTTGATCATAAAATATAACGAGAGGGAAAGAGAGAACTCATACTGGAAAAAGCTCTATAAATATTTTACTGGGATCATTAACACAACCTTGTAACACTTCATCCTGTGTAGCGGAAAGAATTATACAATCCTTTTATGAAATGTCTAAAAAGTGTTTACAATCCTATCCCAAATTAATGTAGCTTTTTTAAAAAGTGTACAGAAAACATCCCATGTCTTAATTCTGTTACCAAAGTTGTTTTCAATCTTTGAAGAGATTCACTTGCTAGTGACTTGGCAGTGTCAAACAAATGTTCGACTTTTATTCTGACACTTCTTGAAGAATTTGATTGAAACTATATATGTCTAGATAACACCCAACAAAGTGCTCCTCTTGCGTTTGTTTCAAGATATTTTTGGAAACAACAGAGGCGACCTTGGATGGAGCTGCTTTTCCAATTTAGGACTTCATTTGGTCTACGAGAGTAAAATTATACTCTTTAATCCTTTTGTGTACCCACAAATAAGACAGTTTTATGCTGTTGTAGAACTGTTTTTCTGTACCTTCTTTGCAGTGTCGATCTGTTTAGGATAATTATTTTAGGTAATCAACAGTTACTTTCAAATGTAATATAAATAATGCTCTGATGTAGCACATGTCCCTTAAAAATACTGTGTAATCTAAATGAACAGTGGTCCTTTATGTAATGCTTTTGCTTCTTTAGAACTAGCGTTAATAAATAAGTGTTACCCTTTGTCTTTGATTATAGACATGAAGAATCTGATTTCAAGCCAGAGCTCACACAGACTTGATGTAAAGTCTAAATGAGGAGAGCGGTAATGCTGGCGAATGCTCTGTGGTGGGACTGCCACCTGTCCGGGTCACAGGAGATATATTGTTTGTCAAGCTTCAAGTTTAAAAGCCAAGGTTAGGAGCCAGGTTCTCTGTCCATCTACAGTGCAGTGATTGTTTTCTTCTGACTTTGGTTTGCCAGTTGTGGAATTGTATCTGTAGAATTTTATTATATCTAATCACTTAAGATGTTTTAAATAGTTTGCACTTCATTTTCTATATAATCAATATATTTTAATTCATTTGTATTACTCTCTGTTATACTGTACTCCAAAATGGAATTAGTTTGTTGCAATGATAATGCAGTTTCAATGCTGTGAATAAAACCAGAATTGACAGAGTACAGTATTCTTGTCATTTATCCTTCACAAGATTTACTCTCTTCAGTAATACTGTTGTCTAGTGTTACTGAATGATCAAATACAAAGTATAACATGGAAACTTGTTGTGGTAACCCAGGACAAAACTAAATCTAGACATGCCAGTGGGATCTATTTGACATTAAATGGTATATGCAAATGCAGATGTAAATATACTACTTGGGAGGATATTGTTTATATTCATTTGATCTCACTTAGTGTCAATGTGTATTTTTGTAGCTCTATTATATACTTACTGTGACTGATGGCTCAAGTTCTAACTGTAGAACATCCAGTTCCCTGATTTTATGGCGTTGTCATGTAAAGCAGTTGCAGACAGCTTAAGAGAAGCAACTCTTAACTGATCCTGTGAACTGATATGTGTGTGAGCATGACTACATTAGCATATGCACAAATCAGGTTAAAATAAACTATTTGGTATAGCAACTTTCATCACAGAATCTCAAAATAATTTAACAAACAACTCTTAGTAAAGTCTGTTGTCTGTACAGCCAGATAAACAAGTTTCTGCTATTTATATAATTTTCTAGATGAACAAACCACAGTAGGGAACAAAACAGAAGCAAAACTGAGAATCTAGTCCTTGTCTCTGGGCTGTGGTCTCAGGGCATGCCCAGAATTCCCAACCTGATCTCCCTGAGAAACCTCCTGAGCCTTGTCCCAAGCATGGTTGTTCAGAACCCCCAACCCTCATCCTAGCCCGAGGTTGGATTTATTTTAACATAAAGGAATGATATAGCAAACGTCACAACATTTCCCAGTGCAGCAGTCAGTGTCCTAGCTTTGAGTATCCTCATCTGACCCCTGCCACTCCCTAAAAAGTAACTCAGAAGTAAAATGTCTGTACACTTGCAATGTGATAATTCATTGAAATGTGTAATGGAAAAGTCATAACAGATACAGATAAACCAGTATGATAGAGACAAATGTAAAGCCATTTCCTGAAGGAGTTTTTAATTAAATTATAACAAGGAATTTCAAACATAAAAAGCATCACAACTACCTTCATTGAGTTAATGGAGCCAACAAAACTAAGTGTGAGATCTTCTCCTACCCTGAGATCTTTTTGTAATCCCAGAGAGATAAATATCAAGAGAAGCAGTCCTAAATAGCAACATAGTGTGTGTCATGTGCAAGCATGCATGCAAACAAAGATTAGGTCTCTCAGTTATAAACCAGTATAGCAGCACTCTGGGGCAGCTTTTTATTTGTGTCTATTCTGTGTTTCACTTTTTTACAAGTGTCTGCCTTGTGCTGTAGCTGAAACACATTGATTATATAGCCTAGCACAGAAATAACAGGAAATTTTATTTTTTCTTAAACATCTAGAGGAAATTAAGAGACTTTGAATATTATTCAATGTTTTCTTCAAAAAATGTAAAGGTGCATGCAAGTGAAAGCACTACAAGAGAAAAACTGGCTGGTTTAGGACAGAGTAAGGACCAAGAGAGTTTGTGCTGCTGGTTTATTGCCCCAGGCAGCTGTGGTCAGAGCTGCTGCTGCTGCTTGTCTGCTGTAGTCCTCAGTGTACTGGCACAGAATTGGTTGGAATTAGACCTCGACTGGAAAGGCAGCAGATTTATCACTGGAGCACTAAATTTTGCTTTTATATGTGAGAACAAATCCAGGGTAACCTCAGTTAATGAATAACCCAGCCAATGGTGATAGCTCCTGTTTAGTCTGATAAATTTAGCCTTAAACAAAAACTGAACTTTTGTTGATACAAGCATATACCACAGGGGAGTAAAACCATTTTCCCCATGAAAAATTTCAGTATCAACAGAACAAAAAAAAACCCAAAATGTTCACATTATTTCTTTAAAAAACTGAAAAAACATGTTTTAAGTACTTTTTAATGCAAAGTTAATTTTTTCGAAAGAAAACTTATACCTCTTGAAAAAAAACAGACAAAAATAAGGTTCTTTAGTCAATACAAAAAAATAAAACCAACTCAAATAGCTTTGATGAAAATCTCCTTACTTACAAGATGTACAGCTTGTTACTGTGCAGTTCCATTAGAATCAGATGAACTCTTCACAGCAGGTTCAGCAATGCTTACAGTATTATATTCTCTGTGGAGAGTCATGGATACTGGAGTTTCATAATAAGGGATTTTTTCTTTGATACAGCAGCTGAATCAGACCCAGTTTTATCTGAAAATACACAGTTCTGGTACAATTTATCTTTGTTTGAAACAACTTATATGGGTACATCCAGTTTTTATAAAAGGGCATTCAACAAATAGAGTGGTTTGCAATGTTATTGCTTCACTGATGCATAAATATTGAATACCTAAACACATCATTAGCTAATTAAATTGGGGGTGATTATTGGCCGGAGATGAAGCACAGAGTAAATAAGCATGGATTAAGCCTGCCCTCTTACTGCACATACTGTGGCTGCTCCCTGAACACAATGAGGATGTAGGTTTCCAGGAGATTAAATCCAGCAATAATTTGCACCTGGAATCTAAAAGAAGGCCAAAAAACATTGGATGGAACTTCTTCAAATGCAGGGTGCTGCACAGAGTGTATGGAACTTAAGCTCAAAGCTTCAAACACAAAATTCCTCCAGTAAAATAATAGTGAGAACTCTGCTTTTAACTGAAATTATTACTTGGTATATACTAATACTTTCTGTACAATTTATCTTTACAAGGCACAGACAGTAAACCAAAACTTACAAAACACTGTTTCAAAAGAGAAACTGCACATACATGCAGTCCACACACACACGCCTGCACCTCCTGCCATTAGACCAGAGCCAGCAGGAATCCCAGTAATCTGCCCAAAGCAGAGCCATCAGAAAACATTCTACAGAAATATTTTATTTTCCCATAGGACTGCTGTTTCATAGCCATTACTGCACTAATGGCAAAAAAAATCAGTCTCTACACCCATGTTTTTCCAGTTGTAACCACCTTGTGCTTCATCAGCAAACTGCTTGTATGACTGATCGCGTGTTGAGTTTTGGAGATCTGACCCATCTGAAACCCACTTTTTGAGGCTTGTTTGCAGCCATACATTGTGGATACACAAGCCCACAAACACAGCATCTATAAAACACGGTATGCAGGCTCATGCTGTTTGCATAATTTTTAAAAAATAAATTATTATTTTAAATGCTGTCAACAAGCTAGAAGAGTCTACACTAAGATGAATGAGCTAGGTAAACATGACAGAAGCTAGGTCACGGGCAGAGCACATTCACTCCCACTTACAGTGCCTGTGCAGCAAAACAGCTGTAAAGAAAAGCCAGATTGCTGGATTACACCAGCATACAGTGATACACATTAATGAATAGTTAGGAAAAACCAACTGGGAGCCTGAGAGAAGAGGTGAGACTGCCCTGCTCTGTGGTACCATAGTCTAAACCAGCTGGCAATTGCTGTGAAAATGTTTTTTCATTTGTGCTGGCATAACTCTTTGTGGGGATGTATGGTCAGGCTTATCGCAGTCTCTTGGTGAAAGATGATTATTAACTCAGTTACTCAGTTTATAGCCACAAATAATTGTAGTAGCACAACTGAAGGGGTAGGGAGCAGCTGGCAAGGAGCTGGGAGCAAGTGGGCAGGGACACAGAGAACCAGGGTCTGGAGCTCTCCTAAACTGCCTTCGCTGTCAGAGAAAATGTTTTGCAGAACTGCACCTATGTCTGTAGTTGCTGTTGTACTCAATGTGCTTCAGTGATCAGCTCTAGACAGTCTGAAGACAAATTAGAAAAATAAAAACTGTTTTATTAAAAAGATCATAAGCAAAGGTGAAATCTCGCCTTAATCAAAACCTACACCCCAAGGGGATGTTGAGTGATTGCAGAGTTAAATAACAAAAAACAAGACAGAAACTTTTTATCATTTAAGAAATACTTATCAGAGGATCAGCATTGGGAGGCAGGAAATTAATACGCATAACTTCTGATTCGCTTTGTTAGAGGTGTCATGCTCCTCTCCTTTGTGCGTTTCTCGAAAAATGAAATACAAAGATGCAGAATGATCACCTGGGCTTTTGATTTTCCAGGGAATGCTTTTTCCTCCATAAACTCATTGTCCTCCCCTCACAGGATGTATGCATCTATTAAACTAGAACATAAAGTTCTGGAAATATGTCTGCCTACATGATGGTATAAAACAGTCTAAGTCACTTTCCTGATGTAACGCCTTGGACAGATCCTTTCTGATTTCCTGAACAGGATTTTGGAACAACCACAGAGAAAACAGACTGCCCTAATTAGCATACCCCATCATTTACATCAAGCCTCCTTGTGGTAAGGCAGGACTTCATGAGTTTTACTGAGTGCTACATTAATGCCCAGACATATTGTACATGTACTGTAAGGCTGATAGTTAATATGAAGTAAAATAACAATAAGGAGATTATAAAAATGCTTATGCAAGAAACTGTGAAAAACTCCAAAATACTGGAATCCAGTTATGGGCTATTATGTAATTCAAGTAGACAATATTTTTCAATCTCTTAAACAATGAAAATTTAAAACATGTATTTAACTCTACTTCATCATGTGTCTTGATTATGGTCAGCCTGAGGTATGAGCACAGGAATGATCACACACTACGACAGCCTGCTGTGGATACATGCCTTTCCAAAATTCAGAGAGACGTTGCAAAGGAAACATTTGTAACAGTATTTTTCTGAGCAAGTGCTTTCATCCTGAGCTTTATTAAAAACATATATAACTAATACAAATGTAATAAAAACATACACAACTGCCAGCAATTAATGCAATATCACTATGATATGCATAAAAAATGTCTTATAAGATCGAACTGTCTGCTTATAAGAAATGTTAGACTCTCCTTATGATTCATAGGCTGGCAATTATTAGGGGAATGATTCACTTATGCTATAACCTCCATGATCTGAATGAACTAACCTCTTTTGAGTCAATCAAGTCACACCTAGCCAGGAGAAGAGTTTGACCCAAATAATCCATAATTAGATCATCAGCTGCTAACACTATTGATCTCCTGAGATTTGGGGTCGCCTGAGCTGCTCTCATTCTCCAGCTGCAACTCAGAAAACAGACTTCATTCTTGAAAGAAAATAAATTTTTAAAAGACATGTGGAATACTAAATTAATGATGTTGGATATCCATCTTCTTGGAATTATCTTAATGTGTTGCTGTTATATAATCAGAAATCAGATTATGACCTTGTCAAGCAGAACAGCATTTATAGTCTTGCTTATATAATCAGGGGCCTGCTTGCTGCCTTTTATTATACCTTGCAGGAATATTCAGGTGCTGTTCAAATAGATTTAAGTTCTTAATGTCAGGTTCAATCTGTCAAAATCACTACAGAAAAGTACATTTGCAAATATATTCTTTACACAAATCCATTTTTAGAAAGCCAAAAACCTGAAGTTTCAAAAAATTGAAATCGATATTGAAGTTATAAAAGAATGAACTTCCATATTATTCTCATGTATTGGGTATTTAATGTCTATCACCCCTTAAGAACATTATATTCTTGGATAATTCAAATTGGTACACTCTGTTTCTAGCGCTGCTTTTCCAGTGGTCAGTACATAAAGGTAGTGGGTTACACATGGCTTTGAAATTTCACAATGATCTCTCTTAAAGTATAAATATTCCAATTTTAGTAGTTTACATTGTAATTAAATTAAAAATGTTATGTTCAAAAATTTTAATTTTATTTATCATATCTTATTCACAGCACAGCTCTGATCACTATTAAATCCATTTGAAAAAGAAAACTTTATTGCTACCTGGTACAAATAAAACTCATTCCTTTCCAAAAACATCTATATTAAATCCTTTCAAGTACTAACATACTGAGGCACACAGGATCCTTCAGAAAGATCAGAAGGCCCTCACACTAACTGCAGGGTTTTTTTCCTCATTTCTATGGCATATGTTGTATCAGAAATCCTAGTCAAAAGAAATTTCATGCTCAAAATTGAAATCTTTTCTCACATTTAACTCAGCCAAAATTCCTGTGATGGCAGAATTAAATTTGGGTTTGTTCTCAAATGGTAAGGAAGTTACAATATGGAACAATTACCATTTTTTTTTAATTCCTGACTACAAAGACTATTACTTTCTCTGAACATTTTTAATCATCTTAAAGAGTCATTGGTAGCTGTCAAATAGGTCCATTGTCTTTGCCTAGAATTTCTTATGAATTTTTAGAGGAACTTGCACATGTACTGATCTAGAAGAGATAATTAATCATTTTTTATAAAATGCAATGAGTATAGCAGATGGGAAGTGATATTCACTTACAAAAACTTACATATAAGAAGCATCTTAACCTCAGCTGAGACTCTCCTCTTCCCATGACAGACTGAAAGGTGGACTGCTACCTTAGGGCTAGATCAGGCACCACATCCAAAAATTAAATTCCAGACTGGTCAGACTCAGACTGGGGAGAGGACAATTTTGGTGATTTCAGTGTCTTTGTCTTCTGCCAATATTTTTATTTTCTTGCAATAAAATATCCCTAGAGGAAAAGATCTCACTGCATGTAACTTTTTTCTGTTGAGTCATTTGGTTTGTTTATGTATACTATGTAGAGGTGTAGTTTTACAAAATGCCTTCTGCATGCAGGAAGAACTCCCCTCTGAACAGATTCTCCACCTGAGCATCAGGGAAAGAAATAAATCTGTAGCTGATGACATTTCAAGGGCAAGGAAAACAACTGTTCAGAGGATAATGATCTGATTTGGTTTGTGTTTATTTTTACTTATATCTAGCAATCTGCTCTCCAACAGAAGACGCTAATTTGCAGAAGAGAGGACTGTCTCCTTTTTGGACTTATGCCCGATCTGGAGAAAAGGTGCCTCTAAGGACGAGAGGTATGTCTTAAGCATGTATTAGCTAATGTAATAGGTGCCTAGTGTTGTAAAAGAAAATGTATGTGTCATATATGTTAACTAGCTAAGGATAAATTCTTCATTTCTTCCCATTACGCTTTTTGTCCACTAGCTAACATAGACTAAATCAGCCTTCTGCTCAGGACTACATATTCCAAAGTGAAATATTCCACATGTGGAATTTTAGAATTAATTATTCCCAAATAACTTGTGTAGAGAAGATCTAGGGTACAGCTCGGATAATGTATTTTACACATGCTTACTGCCAAGTTAGAGGGCTTTACAACTTCACAAGAAATCT